ATTTCAATTACTTTAAATATTGTTGGTACATTTATATTTTTATAATTTGCTGCTAACGTTTGGGCAAACCTACAAACAAATTTATGTGGTATTATTATTATAGCTAACCGTTTTGGAAGAGATTTAAATCTTAATTCCTCAAAGGCGACCAACAAATTAATTACAAAATCAATTTAAAGCTAGATATTTGGTGTGTCCGTTTTCTACAGCACAATTGTTTTTAAAATACATTTCAGAATCCTAGATATTTGGTGTGTCCGTTTTCTACTGTTTGTTTTAAATAGCTTAGTAATTATATGTTATTATCATATATTAGATTAGTTTTAGATATTTATCCTAAAATAAATAATATATATTCGTTTTTTTTTTTGTCTACAAATTAACTATAAAAGAGAGAGAGAGAGAGAGAGAGAGAGAGAGAGAGAGAGTGGAGGAGATAATTTTCTTTTTTCGTTTTGTTTCTCTTGGGTGATAAAACTGGATTGGGTAAGGAAGAATGAGCTAGGCAGTTATATTTTTTGTCATGAGGACTGGGCTAAGTTACCTAGGCAAGGGAAAGTATTTTAAAGCTTCAATTGTGGACTTTCGTCCAAATTTTGTTGACTTCCGATGTCTTTGACTACAACAACAACGATTGTCCGTTCTTTTCAGTAGAACCACTTCATCTAATTCTTCTTTTTAGATGTCTGTAACACGTTTAACATCGGTATTTTCATTAATGTTGTAGTTTATTCATATCATAAAAATTAGACGTCTGTAACACGTTTAACATCGGTATTTTCATTAATGTTGTAGTTTATTCATATCATAAGCAGCAGTGTCTTTATTGTTGCGATGCCTTTGTAGAAGAGCCACTTCACTTGTCCTGCATTATTATTCGATGTCTTTAAGATATTTCACATCAGTTTTTTTGGCCCATTCTAGTGTCTAATTGTTAAGGGCATCGTTTTATACATATTTTCGATGCCTTTTAACAAGATTTACTACACTAATTATATATTTCCTCATGTCTTAAGAGGTAAAAACAACAAGATAATGTTATACCTGATGCTTATTTACAGTTATAACTTCGCCACTTTACTAATGGTGATACCATATGTGTAATGCACTTAAGTCGAATCTAGGTTTGTGATGTCTCATATTTTTAAGGCATAAATTTGAAGAATTATATGTATTCATTTGTCCCAAATAGCATCAACTTTTTAAGGCATCAGTTTTAAGAATTATAGACAAATTAAAGCAAGCAATGTACCAAATGCATATTTTTGTTCCCCTGCAAGTAATCTCTTGTAATCCCAAATAAAAATAAAAATAAAAATAAAGTCATCGTATTTCAAAATACATCATTTATAGTCCAAACTTCAAACTGTCCCACATTAAAAAGCTGGAAAAGAAATAGCATATAGGCTACAACACCAACATTGAAAAGCTTACATGTCAGACTACAAGGAAAAATGCATTTGGCGACGGACACTTTCTTACAATATATGAACATTTGATTACTAAAATGACGTATACCTTTGGGTCTAACACATTGATCATTACCCTGAAAATAAAAAGACACCAAAATTATTTCATTGTCACTGTAGACACTACCAATTCATCAATGAACTGGTACTTGGCTAATAAAACCAAAGTTTGAATAGAACTTCATCCATAATTTTTGCTAGATAGGTGCAGAATTAACAACCACTACATAGAAACATACACCTGCACATCCTTAAAAGAGAACCACTCATTGGAAGACTTAACCAAAGGGAATAAGAAGAAAATCGCACACGCTTGAATGTTCTATAGAACCAAAAGGAACCAAACCAGATCATAAAAAATACGATAGAATAATGAAAGGGGAGATGTAAGATGTAAGGGAGGGAGAGAAAATGTATACACGATGATTCATAATCAGCGTGAACTTTTAGTATACGAAACACAACAGAAAATTACAGTTTTTTCAACACTTGGTAAAGCAACATTGTTTATCTGATACTAATAAGTTAGAGGGAGTTGGAATTTGATTAAGCCTAGAGCTCAAATGAACAAGCATAAAACAAAATCAAATGAGAGATAAAACTAAAAAGTAAAACAGAGGATTTGCTCTGCATTAGACTCTTCAGACTAAGTAAAACAGAAAACTTAAAAAATGAATATTAGAAGAAGCAAAGATACAATTGCAAATAAGCAAGCCAATTCCTGTTAACAACCAGTATATGAAAAGAACACAAATCTGTTAGCAAAGATAAATTTGTCAAAAGTCCACCACTTAACCAAATCCGTAAGGATAAAATACAAAACTGTTAGAAATTGTCAGCAACGAATAAAATTCACATGCATATCACCAAGACTGGGCAGGTTCGATTATGAGGTTCTTTTTTTCCTAACCTTCCAACAAACAGCCCCAACTTAGCCCCTGCGCAAACAAGAATTAAATGAAACACTTCCTCAACAAATTTAATCCACTCAATTATCAAATTAAATCAAACAAAACAAAAGCCTCATTCAAACATTACATATGACCAAATCACATATCTCATCTGAGTCTCCCTCACTCCCTTATCTAGATTATATACGGCCATGCCTCTACATCTAATTTCACATCTACACCTGATTTCCAATTAATTTAACATACCAAAACCAACAAAAGCAGAATATTTAAACATTTTTACTTAACCTTTTTTTCCAGAACCAAACAAAACCCCCAACTTAATTGGATAGCACAATCCCCAAGCAAAGAACCTACAATCCACAACAAACCAAAATCAGAAAATTCGAAAAACCGAATTTGTAGGTCACCACCTCCAAGAATAAAAAACCAAGAGCTACTTCACTGGCAAGGAAAGTAACTGCACCTAAATAACAGTCTAAGAGGGAAGACACAGAATTGTCCAACTTCCATTATGAGATTTTTTTTTTTCCCTGACCTTTCAAGTAATTCCACATAGATTTTACTGTTATAACAACACAAAGATCTAATTTGAAGTTCTCATTATCATTTACAATAAGCAGCAGTTCTAGTTGATCCAAATTCAGTCGGTAAAATGAGTTAAGAAGGTGAACATAACCACACAAGACGCACACCAACAACAACATTCACCATTTTGTGGATTTACACTTTGTCGATAAAGCACTGCCGTCGAAGTAGGACTGGAAGGTCCTGATAACTTCCTCATATGTTGGCCTCTTGTAGTCCACTGCCTGTGATTAGTAACCACCCATATCTGATTATGTCCACAAAACACAATGATTCAATTAAATTAACCGGAAGGATTATTTTTCAGCACACCTGCTCAATAACTTCTTCAGGGCTCGCACATTTCCACTCTGCAAATTCTGGATCAGCTGCCCCATTGGCTAAGTTGATTTCACTCTCATCTTTTGTGAATCTCATAAGAAACCTGTCAAGTGCCCAAATTCATTGTTAAGCAGCAGCAGCAGAAACTTTTGCATCTCTTATTTCCATCCATTCGGAGAAAAATTACAGATCTATATAAGCAAAGGAAGCACATTAATTTTCCACCGAGAGAAGAAGCCTGATGTAACTGAATATACATGGTAAGCAAGCTCAATATCAATTCTATAATTCAGTTGAAACATACAAAGACATTTCATTTTCATGTCCCATAAGTCCCCAGATGGCTCAAAGCACTTGTGGTTATGCCCCAGGCACCAGAGTGAGCCACTAAACATGTCAGGAGTTCGTAGAAAAACAGAATATACACATCCTCAATAACATGATCATATAAGGAGAAACAGCAGAGTACATGCAATGACAATCACATTAATAAAGATCTGCAATTACAATGAGGAAATTGTCTCTTAATGTGCTGAGAATACAACATTACATACTTGCAAGCTTAAGAAGGCAGGTCTTAGAAGAATGGATATTGTTTTTAATTCATGAAGTGTGTGCATGTGAAGGAAGAAGGACATGCCATTTTTGTGCTTGCCCTTGCCATTCACCTCCCAAGAGACGATTTACTTTGGTCTTCACAGCAGGCGGAAAGTCATATGTCAACCAATTCGGAACTTGTCAATACACACAACCTCAGTCTTAAGCGTGGAAGATTGACTGCTATGAAAATTCAGCTGCTCAGCATAGTTATGAAGCATGCAGCATATTTTGACTATAATTTAGAAGTTTTGAACTCCATCCAAGCCATTACTTCATGATACACTGGAGTTTTACAAATTCAGTATTTTCATAGTGGTGATTGTTTGTGCAATAATCTCACAGGAGAATATTCGCTTCTAGATCCTTCAACCTTCGATCTTCCTTCTCTCTCTTCCTCGATTCCTGTAAAACAGATTTGAGTAAATAGACCACACCCGGGGGGTGTTGGCCAAAGGCCCTCCGATGCCTAAGTTAGTTCGAGTGTTTGTAGAAAAACAATAGCTAAGCAAAGGGTACGGAGTAGTGTTTATGTAGGGTGTGAACCGGGCGGCCGGAGCCGTGTGTGGTGGTCGGAGCCGTGTGGAGAAAATATGGAGAGTGGAGAGGGAGAAAGAGCTTCGGGTATTTTTCTCGGGTATAAGGAGTAGGTTTAGATGTACCTTGAATGATGAATGAAGTCATCTATTTATAGGAGCCTCGGGGCTAGGGTTTCGTAGAGAATATGCTGAGTTTATTCTCTACCCAAATTCGTAGGGATCGAGTCGGATTGAGATAATATCTGATTTAATGATATTATCTCTTTTTATGGAGATAATATCTGAATTAAATGATATTATCTCTTTTTATGAAGATAATATATGAGATAATGACATTATCTTCTCTTTAATAGGATAATATCTTAATTAATGATATTATCTTATTAAATAAAGATAATATCATGTTAATTAAGATATTTATCCCAATTAATTAATTGGCCAGATAAACTGGTTCAATTAATTAATTAAAAGAGATAATCTTCTTTTCCACGTGGCGCGCTGTGATTGGAGACGAAAATATTTGCTCCCACAAATGCCCCCCAGCTTCTGCATGGCGCTTGTGTGGCATGTAGGAGATGAAATTATTTTTTTCGGGCTCTCCAACTGAGTCTGGGCTTTCTTCTGTGAGTTGGACTCCTTTTGCAGATCGGATTCTCAATTGGTGTAGGCTTCTGACTGTTGTTGGAGTTGGATTCCCAGTAGGAAAGAGCTTGAGATTCCTTCTTGACCCGGGTTGTCCAACTTGTATAAATACAGGGCTTCTCTTCACTCTTTCTTACATCGCAAACTTAACTTCTCTACTTTCTAGCTTGAGAAAGATCTTGGAGAATTTTGTACTGCTTGTCGAAGAGAGGAGTTGCCGTGCATCCCAAAGTAAGTCGAGCACGTAAATTTTCCTTCGTCTTCTCTTTTTCAAGGCGAGGACCAGTTGGGTGGGACCAGGTTGGTTGTCATCGTTACTGGCAGCCAAAGACGATTGGAGCGGCGGTGGCTGCTGGCGGCTGCTGAGCAACGATTAGGAGGAAGTTGGTGGACTGCCCCTGCTAAGGATGTCGATAGATGGAAGCAGGATGGTCCGAGCCTTGATGATCTGCCTGCTGGACATGAGGAGTGTTTTGCTAAACTCCCCTAAAAAAGGAAGGCTGATGTCAAGTCTTCGAGAGCTCAAGCCTGATGAGTTTGGAGATCGTGATATGCTCAGTAAAGTAGTCCGTGCACGATCTAGCTCACTTGTTGAGAGGCAAAGAGATGCGGATGCTCCTTTTCGAAATTCGAGTCGTTTGTACCAGTCGAAGATTGGAAGTCGATCTGGGCAGTCTGCTCATCCATCCAACCATCATGTTTCAACTGTTGAGTCATGAGCAGTCAAGCATGGAGTTGATTCGACGTCGCAAATTCCTTTGGAAGTGAGGTTGGCGGAGGCTAGGAAAGCAAGAGAGTCATCTGCCGGACAAAAGGTTCTTCTGTAACGTCAGCGACTGATCCAAAGGTGGACAAATCTAGCCCTGCAGGGGATGCAGGCGTGTCTGATCTGCTAAAGACGCAATTTCTATCAAGTCCATCCTCTTGTGCTGAGCTGGTTGACCAAATCCGTCAGGCTGGCGATCTTGGTACTTTTTCAAGTCTTTCCTTGGAAAAGCAAAAGGAAGCGACACTTCATCTGCTTCAAAAGGGAATAGTTTTTGCTGCTGAGACCATTCGGAACTCGTCTGCTGTTGCCCCATCTTCTGTTCAGCTCAGCGAGTTGGAGAAGAAGAATGCCGAGTTAGTTAGCAAACTTTCCGCCGAGCAGACCCGTTATGAGAAGAAGACGTCTGATTTGCGGGCGATGATATCTGAGTTGAAGAGCTCCCTTGCTGAGAAGGATTCCGAGCTTAACTCTTCTGCTGCTGACTTGGCAAGTCGAAAAGATGCTTATTTCCACCTTGAGCGCAAGAATGCCGACATCTCTCATAGCTATGACAAGCTTTTAGCTAGACTTCACGCCTACCATGAGTCTGCTGAGGAATCCAAGTCCGAAGTTGCCATGGACGCGTACAAGTTGGGCTACCTGGACTGCACAAGAGGATATGATCCCTTCTACGCCATTGGAGATGAAGACATCGAGATGCTCTATCCAGACTTGCCCCCTGCGCAAAGTGAGAAGGCTAATGCTGTGAACATCGAAGGAGCTGAAGAGCAGGTGACTAAAGAGGCGATAGCTGAGGAGGATGGAGCAGAGGAGGATGCAGCCGATGAGGTGGTGGCAGACGTCATAGATCAGGCATGTGGAGCTGCTGAAAGCGTGGCTGTTCAGGCGGACGCTGAAGAGGTTGTAGATCAGGGATCTCCTGCTGGCGCTTCGGAGTAGACGAAGACTCCTTTATTTCTTTTCAACTTTTGTAGTCTGCTTTTGTTTAGAATAATTGGTCTTGTTTGACCATCTTCTTTTGTTTGAACTTGGCCGGTTGGTCGCTTTGCTATGAAAATTTCAGTCTTTATTTTTCAACTTCAATTTGCATATTGTCTTGTGAACTGCTTGAGTAACCGGCTAGTGTCTTGATTGCACATCTCCTTTTGGAGATTCATGAGTGTCAGGGTTCCTCTTGAAGGACTTCAGACGTGTTCTGCATATCTCTTAGGTTGGCTTGGTCGTCGCCCTGCGTCTCCCGAAGGACGCTGCTTATGGGCAACTGTGTGACTATCCTGCCTCCCTTAGGAAACGGATAGGAACCTGGATACTTCCCGCAAGAGGCATGGAGACCTCCTTTTAAGAAATTCCTGGCGCACCCTGCGTCTCCCTTAGGACGCTTTTTTAGTGGGCTGCGTCTCCAAACGGACGCTTTTAGTCGTCGCCCTGCGTCTCCCTTAGGACGCTCTTTATGGGCAACTGTATGACTATCCTGCCTCCCTTAGGAAACGGATAGGAACCTGGATACTTCCCGCAGGAGGCATGGAGACCTCCTTTTAAGAAATTCCTGGCGCACCCTGCGTCTCCCTTAGGACGCTTTTTTAGTGGGCTGCGTCTCCAAACGGACGCTTTTAGTCGTCGCCCTGTCTCCCTTAGGACGCTCCTTATGGGCAACTATATGACTATCCTGCCCCCCTTAGGGAACGGATAGGAACCTGGATACCTCCCTTAGGAAATTCCTGGCGCACCCTGCGTCTCCCTTAGGACGCTTTTTATGGGCTGCGTCTCCCGAAGGACACTTCTGGTCGTTGCCCTGCGTCTCCCGAAGGACGCTGCTTATGGACAACTGTTGTGTTTTGTGGGTAGATGATATTTCTCCAGATGAATCGCTCCACATCGGCTTCTTTAGTAGAGGATAGAGCTTCGGCCTCGATCCATTTAGTAAAGTAGTCGGTGGCGACGATCATCATTTCTTTCTTGGCAGGCGCCGGTGGCAAGGGACCCACTAAGTCGATGGCCCATTGCATGAATGGCCATGGACTGTTTTGCGGATGGTAAACTTCGGCAGGCAGATTAGGGATCGGCTTGTATCGTTGGCAACGATCACATCTTTTGACATATTCAGCAGAGTCGTGGCGCATGGTAGGCCAGAAATAGCCTACGTTCAGAGTTTTCTGGGCGAGTGACCTGCCCCCTGAGTGGTTGCCACACTCGCCGTCGTGAATTTTGCAGAGGACTTCAAGTGTTTGAGGGTACTTTATGCAGGTGAGATGAGGCCGGAGTATGATCTACGGATGAGCTTGCTGCCGTGCATATAGTATCTCGCGGCCTTCTGCTGGACCTTCCTAGCTTTGGACTTATCCGTTGGCAGGTTTCCATTCACCAAGTAGTCGATGATGGGGTCTTGTCAGCTGGGGTCCTCATCAATCTGCATTGAGTCGATCGGCTCTATTTCTTCGATGCTTGGCCGGTCAAGGTGTTCAACTGGGATGGAGCGTCTGAATTGGGTGTCCAGTGCTGATCCTAGGCTCGCCAACGCATCTGCATGAGTGTTCTCTGCCCGTGGAATTTGTTGGATGGTGAAAGTAGGGAATTCTTTCAAAAGTCCTTGGACTTTGTCGAGGTACTGGACCATTCTTGGGTGCTTTGCCATGTACTCGCCTGAGGCTTGATTCGTGATCAGTTGGGAGTCTGAGTAGATGGCCAGTCTCTTGATCGACAGTTCTTTCGCTAGGCGTAGTCCTGCAAGCAGTGCCTCATATTCTGCCTCGTTGTTTGAAGCAGAAAAGCCTAGTGTGATAGCTTGTTCCAACAAGGTTCCGTCTGGGGTGATTATGACGACTCCTGCTCCCGCTCCTTTGTGATTTGATGCTCCGTCTACATGCAACTGCCACATGTCGTTAGGTAGGTTCGAATCGGTGGGGAGGTGTCGTCCGCTTTTTCCTTGCTTTTCGTGACCATCTTCTCTTCTTCGGCTGTCGGAGTAAACTCTACAACAAAATCTGCTAAAGCTTGGGCTTTTATAGCAGTCTTCGGCCGGTAGAGGAGGTCGTATTGACTGAGTTCGATTGCCCATTTAATGAGTCGCTGAGAAGCGTCGGGGCTGTGAAGGATCGATCTCAAAGGAAATTCTGTTATGACAATTATCCGGTGTGCTTGATAGTAGGGCCTTAACTTTCTCGCAGAAACCACAAGTGAAAGAATGAGTTCTCCATTTTCGGATAACGAGTCTCTGCATCGAGGAGAGCTTTTGAAGTGTAGAATACCGGATGTTGTGCCCCCAGCTCTTCTCGGATGAGAGCTGAGCTGACAGCTGAGTGGGACACCGCTAGGTAGATTTACAAGTCCTCGCCTGGTATCGGTTTTGAGAGCAATGGAGGTGAAGTGAGGTAAGTTTTCAAGTTTTGAAAAGCTACTTCACACTCGTCATCCCACTTGTCTTTGTGTCCCTTCTTCAAGGCTTTGAAAAATGGCCTGCATTTGTCGGTAGATCTAGAGAGGAATCGGTTGAGGGCTGCCGCCCTACCCGTTAGACTTTGTATCTCCTTTGTTGTGGCAGGTGACTTCATGTTAAGTATAGCCTTGATTTGATTTGGATGTGCCTTAATTCCTCTTTGGGTGACTAAGTATCCAAGGAATCGGCCGGACGAGACTCCAAATGTGCATTTGCTCGGGTTCAACTTCATGTTGTATTTTCGGAGTATGCTGAATGCCTCGGCAAGATTCTCGATGTGGTCTGCTCGCTCGGGAGCTTTGACTAGCATGTCGTCTACGTAGACCTCCATAGTCTTACCGATTTGCTCCTTGAAAATTTTATTCACCACCTTTGGTAGGTTGCCCCGGCGTTCTTCAGCCCAAAGGGCATGACCTTGTAGCAGTAGGTACCTCTTTCGATGATGAAAGAGGTCTTTGCCTTGTCGTCTTCATGCATCATGATCTGGTTGTAACCGGAGTAAGCGTCCATGAAGCTTAGCAGTTGATTGCCGGAAGTTGAATCGACGAGCTGGTCAATTCTCGGCAGTGGAAAGTTATCTTTAGGACATGCCTTGTTGAGGTCAGTATAGTCGACGCACACTCTCCACAGGCCTTTATCTTTTTTGCTACTAGAACAACGTTCGCCAGCCATTCTGCGTATGAGACTTCTTCAATGAAACCGGCAACTAGAAGCTTGTCGATCTCAGCTTCAATGATGGCGACTCGCTCGGGGGCGAAGTTGCGTCTCTTCTGCGCTACAGGCTTGATGGCTGGGTTGACGTGTAGGCGATGGCAGATGATCTGGGGATCGATGCCAGGCATGTCAGAGGGTGACCATGCAAATACGTCTTTGTTGTTCTGGAGGAAGGCTACAAGCTCTGCCTTTTCCTCCTGGCTTAGGCGCGAGCCGATCCGCGCTGTTCTCTCTGGCTTGTCAGGATCAAGGGGTACTAGCTCAACGTCCTCCTCGGGCTTCCATCCTTCTTCAGGATAGACCTCCGGACGGATTCCCTCGACTTGGTCCTGATTCTTTGATTGCTATTGGGGAGTAGTTATTCCCTTTCCTTTTTGGCCTGCTCGGCCGTCAGGAACGGGATCTGCTTCCTCATCTGCTTGTTCTACTCCCTTTAGATCTGCTTGATTCACAGGGAGGAACTGTGTTTGCTTGCCTTTCTTCAGCCCTTGAGCTGAGCATTTCCTCGCCATTGCCTGATCGCTGTTGATTTGGCCGATCCCACCCCAAGGAATTGGGTAGCGAATCTTCTGATGCGTGGCGGAGGTGATGGCATTGATCTTGCTGATCCATGGCCTGCCTAGAATGCCATTGTAGGGTGAGACTTCATCAATGACCATGAACGTTTGAGAGCTGATTACAGGTGGGGCGTAGACGTCGAGCTCTATCGTGCCTACGGTGACCGTTGTTGCTCCATTGAAACCAGTCAGCGACTTGGCTGATTTATTGATCTTTGCCTCTAAGCCCATCTGTTGGATAACTGTCAATTGTAGGATGTTGGCCGCACTGCCCTCGTCTGCATGGATTCGGCCGACCATGGCCTGAGCGATTTGAATGCTGATGACAAGAGCGTCATTGTGTGGTAGATCAAGGCCAATTAGATCTTTCTTTTGGAAGCCGATTATAGGGTCGTCTTCTGCTAGCGGAATGTCGGTTGAGACTTGGGAGATCATAGTGGCTTGTTTGATCTTCCTTTTTTTTTCCTTGCTGGTCAACCCAGATTCCTCGGAGTCGGCTAGGATTGTGTTAATCCTTATGACCTTTTGGGGCGGCTCCTTGGCGGTGTCGCGGTCCTCTATCTGTTGGATGGCCTGCTTAGCGATGAATTCGTGCAGTGACCTTCCCTTCACGAGTTCTTCGAGGTGTGCTTTCCAAGCGAAGCAGTTGTTCGTAGTGTGTCCATGCGTCCCATGGAAGGCACAGTATTTGCTAGTATCCCTCCTGTCTGGATCTCCTTTCAAGGGTGGCGGTCTTCTTACCCAAGGTTTGTTTTTCACTTGGGCTAGGATTTGATGTATAGGGATAGTGAACTTGGTGTAGTTCTCTCCTGCCTTAGCGTCCTCTTGTGGGTGTGACCTGCGCTTGTCCTTGTTCTTGTTGCTAAATCCATCGCTTCTTAGGCCCGCCCGCTTGGTCTGCCGATCTCCCTGCTCAGTGGACTTCTTCGCGGCAATTCGATCGTCATCCCAGAGCGCGTAGCGTTCTGCGGTCGCGAAGACCTCTGCTAAAGTCTGGCTGGGAGTGATAGTCAGCTCGCGGTATAACTCGTGTTCTGCTGGAAGACCTTTCTTGAAGGCAGATGATGCGATTCGGTCGTCGCACCCTACGATGTTGGCCTTTTCTGCTTTGAACCTCTTGATGTAATCTCGAATGGATTCGTCGGGCTTCTTGCGCAGGTTGAACAGATGATCTGGGTTCTTCTTGATCGTCCGATAAGAAGTGTATTCTTTAGTGAAGACATAGGCAAGCTCCTTGAAACTGTTGATCGACCCAGATGGCAGGGTGTGGAACCAGTCCTGAGCTGCTCCTCGCAATGTCATTGCAAATGCCTTGCACATCAGTGCGTCGTCGGCCTTGTGGAGGATCATGACACTTTTGAAGTGTTTTAGGTGGCTCTCGGGATCGGAATCTCCCTTGAAATGCGTAAAAGAAGGCGTTGAGAATCGCTTCGGGGGAGTAGCCTGCTCGATTTCAGGGGTGAAAGGAGTAGAGATCGCCTGGTCCATCTCCTTACGTAGTGCATCCTCGAGGTTCCCGCTAGTCTTCAAGTCTCGAAGTCGGTCATTCACAAGCTTCTCAACGTCTTCCACGCGCAGTGCTGGTCGATCACGTTGGCGCCTTTTGCGATTCGAGCGACGCTGATTGACCTCCTCGTTGGTCTGCAAGGGTCGGTCCTCTCGTCCGCGATGCCTAGGAGGCGTGTTGGTGGACTGCGATTGCGAGGGATTTTCTGCAGCTTGACGGCGAGAGTTGGTTCTCCGAGAGCGGGCAATGGAGTGCCTCTCTTCACGATCCTCATTGCGAGGGTTACCGGGTTGACCTCCCTGGGAGCCTAGCCTTTCGTGAATATTTCTCTGCGAGTGGGCAGCGGAGCGCCTCTCTTCACGATCCTCATTGCGGCGATTGTCAGTTTGATCTCCCTGGGAGCCTAGCCTTTGAAGTACATTCCCCTGCGGGCCCAGGCGAGCACGGACGTCAAGTCGTGGGCCGAGCCTTTCTCGCACGTTGCTTTGTGTGTGGCTTGCAGATGCTCGCGACATGTCGGCAAGCTGATCACGTGGTTGTGCATCCCCTTGTCTGCTCGCTCCTGCTCGACCGCTTGGTGCCCGTTGAGCTGCCCACCGGTGCGTTCGTCTATTCTTCTCACTTCGCCTGGTTGTCCAAGGCCAAGATTTTGAGCCACGCTTATTTGATTAAGGAGCTGCCTCATAAGAGCGTTTTGGTCGTCCACTCTCTGAGCTAGCTGGTCAACTCTCAGGTTGAGATCTGCTTGACTTTGTGGATCGGGAGGAGAGAAGCGTGTGGAGCCCAATTGCACACGGGCTAGGGTTTCACTGGAGGTGTACGCGAGAGCGTGTGTCGAGCGTGGAGGCAATGGAGGGAACGCTTGAAGTTGCTCCAAGACCGGGCCTAAGTCGGTTGTGGTAACGAGCCCACCTTGATGGGAGGTTCCACCATGTTCGGCGGCGGTGCCACGGAGGTTGCTAGATTCGGTCGCGGGTCCGGTAGGTGGCACGGTGGCGAGAGGTGGTGGTGCCACCATGTTGATCGCGGGATCGTGGGTGGAGTGGCTTTGGGCCGTCACGGATTGAGCCATCGCGGCGGTTTTACTCCTCGTGCGCTTGCTTCCAACCATGGTTGTTTGGAAGGCTTCGGTGGATTGGAAAATATGAGGAACGGATTCCTTGAGCACGCGTTGAGTATAACTCGTGCTCTCAATGAAAGCACCAAATGTTTGTGCAAATAATCTCACGGGAGAATATTCGCTTCTAGATCCTTCAACCTTCGATCTTCCTTCTCTCTCTTCCTCGATTCCTGTAAAACAGATTGGAGTAAATAGACCACACCCGGGGGGGTGTTGGCCAAAGGCCCTCCGATGCCTAAGTTAGTTCGAGTGTTTGTAGAAAAACAATAGCTAAGCAAAGGGTACGGAGTAGTGTTTATGTAGGGTGTGAACCGGGCGGCCGGAGCCGTGTGTGGTGGCCGGAGCCGTGTGGAGAAAATATGGAGAGTGGAGAGGGAGAAAGAGCTTCGGGTATTTTCTCGGGTATAAGGAGTAGGTTTAGATGTACCTTGAATGATGAATGAAGTCATCTATTTATAGGAGCCTCGGGGCTAGGGTTTCGTAGAGAATATGCTGAGTTTATTCTCTACCCAAATTCGTAGGGATCGAGTCGGATTGAGATAATATCTGATTTAATGATATTATCTCTTTTTATGGAGATAATATCTGAATTAAATGATATTATCTCTTTTATGAAGATAATATATGAGATAATGACATTATCTTCTCTTAATAGGATAATATCTTAATAATGATATTATCTATTAAATAAAGATAATATCATGTTAATTAAGATATTTATCCCAATTAATTAATTGGCCAGATAAACTGGTTCATTAATTAATTAAAAGAGATAATCTTCTTTTCCACGTGGCGCGCTGTGATTGGAGACGAAAATATTTGCTCCCACAGTGATTATGGGATTTTAGCCAGATTTCCAAACTAACCTCAGCAATAATTTCAGCAGATTCTATCCCAGTCTCTTCTAGCGCCGTTCCGCTCGGATCTGGGTTGTGGCGCTTGAAAGAGAGAGGGGGTTGTCTTAGATCTGGGTTGTGGCTCTCGAAAAATAGAAGAAGAGCGAAAGAGATATATTAAAGGAAGAAGTCGCAGTGGATATTGCTAGTGAAAGAAGAGAGCGTCGAGTACCGAGATATGAGAGAGAGAGAGAGAGAGAGAGAGAGAGAGAGTGAGAGTTAGGGCAAAACATAAGGAAGGAGGCGAGCGTGAATATGAGAGAAGGGGAAACGATATCAGTTGGCCAAATTTTCATCCTGAAAACGAGGCGCTAAAAATCCCGCAAAATAAAAAAAAAAATTACGACGCGTGTTTTTTTGTTGAACAGTAGTTAGCGTGTTTTGTAAAAGGCAACGGAGAAGAAGCGCTAAATAAAAATATATTTAATAGGCATCATTATTTTACGTTGCTGATGCTAAAACCTTGTAATACGCATCAGCATCACCATTACATTGTTCTTTAGGTACCTATGTGTTTTTTTTTTTTTTTTTTTTTTTTTTTTTTTTTTTTTTTGGCTAATACCAGAATAACATCCTCTATTTAATTTCCCGATGCTTATGCAGTGTAGTCTATTAGCAAATTTGTAGTAGTGGTAATATCAAATTCGCGTATCCGTTAGTAATTGACCGTATTCGCTGAATTGAATATGTATTTGACACGTATCGTATTTCACAGCGTATCTGATACAGAATACGAACCTCAAACAGCGTATCCATGCTTCTTAGGTTTATTCACTTTTACATTGCAAGTTTACTTTTTTCTTCTTGGGTTCGATCAGGTTTCCTAGATTATTCACTTTTGCATTGCAAGTTTCCTTTTTTCTTCTTAAGTTCAATCAGGTTTCCCAGTTTATTCAAGCTTCCCAGAAAGATTAAATTTTGAAAACTATATAAGGCACCAAGCGAGACTTTTCACGGGCATAGTAGCCTACAAAGACGGAATAGCATTGAGGTATAATTTTCTTGTTCTTTCTTTTTCAATATGTTCACTCTTCTAATTATATCTAATTAAACTCGTGAGTTAGGGTTGAGGGGATTAAAATTAAATTTATTATTTTTAATTTATTAATACCCATGATCATGTTTTGAATGTTTATGATAATTACTTTCACGTGATTAATGAAATTTTAAAATTTTCACCAAAAAGGGTTTATAAGTAATTTTATTTGACATTTTCTCTTTCAATAAATTTGGATTCATAGAATACTTAAGGTCTATTTGGTATTTGATTTGAGCCCAATTTTATAAACTTGAAAATAGATTTTAAGTCCAAAAGCCCAAAAAACGAGTTTGGTAGGCCATTTTTAAAACCTCAAACCCAAAACAAACTAAAAAGACCCGTATAGTTTGGTAAGCCATTTTTCTTGAATTTTTTTCTCGCGTCATTCGCAGCTGCTGGTTCGCTCGAGCTCGCAGAAGCTTGAAACTCTCTTGCTCCCTCTCTCTCCATCCCTCTCCTCGTCCTTCTCTCTCTTCGTCCCTCTCTCTCATCATTTCAAACCCTAGAAATTGGGGATTTTTCAAATATCAAAGGTCAGTTTACTTTTTCTATTCTTTTTGGATAGCTGGGTTTTGTTTGTTGGTAATGTTTGTTTTTATTTAAATTTGATAATGGGTTTCTTTTAATTCCCTTGTTCCTGTTTTGTGACCTTATTGTTTAAGAAACTCAAGTTTTATGGCTGGCATAGATCTATTATTGCCAATTTGTGATTAATTCATAGTTGGTGTTTAGCTTTACAAGTTTTCTGCTTTAAGGAAGAGTTTAGTGAAGGAGTTACTGAGAAAGCTAAATTTTTTGGATGAACTTCCTATTGCTGATTCTGATTCTGCAATTCTGAGAAAGAGTGAATGATAGTCAAAATTGACACCTAAGAAAACAAACCTAGAAAGAATCCTTAAGAGCATCTCCATGCCACTGGTCATACCAAAACATTCTCATTTCCCTCCCCTTCCTTTAAAACTGAGAACTGAGACCTATTTCTACTATCTTTGTATAAATCCCACCCATAATAACATCGAATAGGATAAGTAGTCCCAATAGATGAAGGTTGAAAAGCTCATATGAGAATTTTTATGGCACGGCCAAGGAGAAGGGAAATAAGTGCAGTTGGTGAAGTGTGAGTTAGTGTCAAAATCTAGGGGTAACGTAGGTTTGGTGGTTGAAATTTTGGTTAAGAGGAATGTGGAGCCATCTCTCTCCAATATGTTCCAGCCTAAGTGCTTAGTTCAACTTTCAATATGTAAAACTGATTTTAACTAAAAACATACAAAATACCTTAATTCATTTGGATTAGTTAGGTTGCACAATTTGTGGGATTTTATTCCCTTTTATTCATGAAAGTTCATAAGATCGTTAAAACTGAGGTTCAGAGATATATTTCATTGGCATATGTTGTGCAATGTAGTTTCGTAAACTATATTGTGTTTTAAAACTAAAGCTCCCTAATTTCATATTGGTGAAATTCATTGGGAGAAAACAGATGCAAGTAGCCGATTCACCCACTATCTCACGTGCGACACCTCCTCTCTCTCTCTCTCTCTCCCTCTCTCTCTCGGGTTAGGGTTCGTAACGGTTACTTATTTTTCTGGGTTCAATCGCCGCACGACCGCATCTCTCTGGTACTCCGTCTCTTTCATCTCTCCGGTGCCGTCGTCATCGTCTCTTCGAATCCGTCTATCTGTTTCAGTGAAAGATTCCAAGCCATTGGTCCGGGGTCACACCGGCTGGAGGCTCTCATCTCTGCGACACCGTCTCACTCTCTCTTATCTTTGGCTCGCTACTTTGGATAATTTTGTTGATGTTATTTGATGTGGGTTTTCTGCAAGTGAAATTGGGTCAATTCTCTGCTCTGTGTCATCTTCTTTTGCTGATTCTTAGTCTACTTCTAAATTTTCTTTTGGTGCATCATCCCCAATTTCTTTGTCTGATTGCTCACCCTCGTTAGTAACCTGTAGAAAAAAGATGTGTAAGAAACAAACTGATTCTCCATACAAACGGTAAACATCTAATATATAATTTAATGATTCATCATTGTTGGATTGAGTTCACGTCATGGCCCTTTGATATTTTCTTCTTTTGGTGCTTTTTGTTCCAATTCCATCTTTTCTTTTGATAGATGATCCTTAATTCTAGTTTTCCCTTCCTTTTATTGTTCACTCTTTCTAGTTTCCTGCCCCCAAAAAAAGAAAGTGTAAAAGACAGCAAATTCATTTGCTATAGCATTCATTACTTTCAAATTCATTTGTTATAGCATTCATTAGTTTTCCCTTCCTTTGATTGTTCACCCTTTCTAGTTTTCTGTGAAAAACCGAGAGCTACTTTACTGGCAAGGAAAATAACTGCGGGAAGACACAGAATTGTCCAACTTCGATTATGAGATTTTTTTTTTCTGACCTTTCAAGTAATTCCACATAGATTTTATTTTTCCTGACCTTTAGGTATAAGCTAGCTGCGGAGTTGTCTTTATATTTTATATATTAGCTAGCTGCAGGGTCATGGTCCCATAGATTAACTGGCCAGTATAGCAATTATTTTTCTTTCCTTTAGTATTGGTGTCTGAGTGTAGTACCACTTAATTGGACAATGGGATTTAGCTGATGGAGTATCATCCTTCAATGTTGGTTTGATTGTTTTGGAAATCCTTTTCGAGCTCATCCAGCCACTTTTTTTTTCTTTTTTAACAAACCATTTTGGCTTTATGTGATGATCACTGGTAGCTTGAATTTTATGCAAGGTAGTTCAATTAGCTTCAAGGGTAAATTTTTGTTAATTTGAAATGGTTTTTTTATCATCATCTAGGGCATATATAGTTAAGAACTGTAGAGAATAATAAATGTTCTGGAATTGAGATGAAGAGCCTAATTACTAATTTCAGATAATTCATATACTACACGAGAGACATGTGACCTTAAGCCTGATTCTATTCATTGTACATGTTATAACTGTATAAAGTGGATGTGTTGATTACAATATTACTTTGAACCATTTGGTTTTATGTTGAGACTTTTATCTTGGATATTTGGTGCTTCCTGTGATATCTTATTATGTTACTGTTTTGAGTTAACTCAGAAAAATAATATTTTTGTTTAATGATGAGTAGTGAAACTATATGCTATTTTGAGTTTGAAGACTAATTTGGACTCAAGCCCTCCAAAAATATAGTGTCTAACAGAATTGTTTTTTTATTTTTCTTTTTTGCAGTAGGGTGTTTGAATTACTTGCTTAAGAGGCTATATTTGCTTAAGCGGTATGGATAGCTAAAAATCTGGCTTCTGCCTTTTTTTTGTTTTTGACTTGTTGTGGGTTTACTGTGTTTAATTGATTTTAAATTTAAATTTTATAAATTTTGTTTGCAATAGGTTGTTTGAAATACTTGCTTAAGAGGCTATATCTTTGAAGTTTAAACAACGCCTTCATTTATCTCATTCAGGATTTGTAGCAAAGCAACAGCAAGCCCAAAGAGCAAAATCTGAAGCTTTCGATTTTAATGGAGGTTAAGGTGCTTTCATTTGCCGCTGAGAGCCCTCCTCTCCCGGTGCTCGTGGTGGCCAAGCTCGCTGGCATTTCTCTCTCTAACGACAAATCTCTACTTGTTGATTGTCCTCATCTCTTGCACTTCTCCAATGGGTAAATCCTAATCCCCATTTTTGTTGTGCTATTGATTTATTTGTATTCGTCTCTGTTTTCATGTTGGATTAAATGCATTTGTTCATCTTTCGTTTTAGGTTGAAATTGCATGGAAATTTTGCGCTTCTTCGATATATCGGTCCAATTGCTAACTTGTATGGTGAGAATGCAATTCAAGCTGCCCAGATTGATGAGTGGCATGAGTGTGCACCTGTGCTTTCACAGGGTTCTGCATTTGAGAATGCATGCAAATATTTGGATGACTATTTGGGAAGCCGTAGTTTTTTCGTTGATCACTCCTTTTCCATTGCCGATATATTAATATGGTCAAGTCTATTAGGTATGGCGTTGCTTCTCTCACTCTCTTTTCCTATTGTTTTTATCATTATTTTGCATGGTTATGCAAAGAATTAGAAATTGAAGGATAAGGTCCTAAACTAAGGACTATTCTTGTGTAAACATTTCTATAACATAAATGGAAGTGCTTTTTGGAGATGCTTAATTAACGCTCTATGCATTGGCAGAAAGTTGGCAAAGATGGGAAAGTTTGAGAAAGTCGAAAACGTACCGCAACCTTTCTCGGTGGTTCAATTCACTATTAGCGGAATACGGTGGTGCCCTGAATGAAGTCATCGCTACCTTCCTTGGCAAGAGAGGTTTGGGAAAGCCAGCAACAACAAAATCAAAAGGCACTCAAGCCAATCAGGAATCAATGAGTGTAAATGGAGATGTGTATGAGAAAGGTAAAGCAGGAAGCAGACCAACATTTGAAGTAGACCTTCCAGAAGCTGAGGTTGGAAAGGTTCGATTGAGATTTGCGCCAGAACCCAGTGGATTTCTTCACATTGGGCACTCAAAAGCAGCTTTGTTGAATCAGTATTTTGCTCAAAGGTATCAGGGTCAGCTTATTGTGCGATTTGATGATACAAATCCTGCTAAAGAAAGCAATGAGTTCGTGGACAATCTTCTCAAGGATATTGAGACTTTGGGTATCAAGTATGAAACAGTTACCTATGCTTCAGATTACTTCCCTCTGTTGATGGAAATGGTTGAGAATTTGATTTGCCAGGGCAAAGCATATGTTGATGACACACCACGTGAGGAGATGCAAAAGGAAAGGATGGATGGCATTGAATCCAAATGTAGAAACAACAATGTAGAGGAGAATCTAAAACTATGGAAGGAAATGATTGCTGGTTCTGATAGGGGTCTGCAGTGTTGTGTCCGTGGGAAGCTGGATATGCAGGATCCAAATAAATCTCTTCGTGATCCAGTTTATTATCGTTGCAATCCAATGCCACATCATAGGATCGGATCCAAGTACAAGATATACCCGACTTATGATTTTGCTTGCCCATTTGTTGATTCTATAGAAGGCATTACTCATGCACTCCGATCCAGTGAGTATCACGACCGCAATGCTCAGTACCATCGAGTTCAAGAGGATATGGGACTGCGAAAAGTGCACATCTATGAATTCAGTAGGTTGAACATGGTTTATACAGTTCTCAGCAAGCGCAAGCTTTTGTGGTTCGTTCAAAATAAGAAGGTTAATGGATGGGATGATCCTCGTTTTCCAACTGTTCAAGGAATTGTGCGCAGAGGTCTTAAAGTTGAAGCTTTAATACAATTCATTCTTGAGCAGGTAAGACAATATTGTGTTGTAGATGCACAAAAGTAGTTATGATCTATGCCTATAACATATAATGTCTTCCCGCTGCTTATTATGTCCTTACACCAATTGTTTTTCCTTGGCACTAATAGTTTATTTGTTGCGATGTCCACTATTTTGAATGTTTTAATTTTTTAATTGACTTTTATACTCTTAATGTTTTAGGGAGCTTCAAAGAATCTGAATCTCATGGAATGGGACAAACTTTGGACAATTAATAAGAAGATAATTGATCCAGTATGCCCAAGACACACCGCCGTTATTGAAGAGCGGCGGGTGTTGTTGACGCTGACCAATGGGCCTGAGAAGCCATTCGTTCGCATCATTCCGAGGCACAAGAAGTACGAAGGTGCTGGGGCGAAGGCGACTACATACACAAGGACAATATGGCTAGACCTTGTAGATGCAGAGTCCATCAAGGTAGATGAGGAAGTGACCTTGATGGACTGGGGGAATGCCATTGTCGAAGGGATTGAGAAAGACGAAGATGGAAACCTCAAACTCATAGGGGTTTTGAATCTTGAGGGGTCCTTCAAGACGACGAAATTGAAGCTTACGTGGCTACCTCAAATAGATGAACTACCTAAGCTCTCACTGATGGAGTTCAATTATTTGATAACAAAGAAGAAGGTATGTCCCCCAGGTGTTAAGTTATCACACCTTAGCATAGCATATTACTTATTAATACATTGAACTTGAATTTATTGAAAAGTGATTGGTATGTGATTATTTAACTTACGATTGCAGCTTGAAGGAGAGGATTTCCTTGATGTGCTTAACGCATGTACAGAAAAGCAGACTGCGGCCTTGGGTGATTGCAACATGCGAAATCTCAAGCGAGGAGATATCTTGCAGCTTGAGAGGAAAGGATATTTCCGATGTGATGTTCCCTACGTCAGGCCTTCAAAGCCTATAGTTCTCTTTGCAATCCCCGACGGCAGGCAGCATACTGGGTTTAATTGATAAGGAAGAGTTCATAGAAATTCAACTCATGGAAGGAGAGGGATTTGACTACCGAGCAGAAAAGCTACGAGGTACCTCATCGTATAATTCACCATTCACAAATAAGTGAATTACTTTCGTTAATTACTTCATATAATTGGGTACTCTTCATGCTGGCTTCTAATACACATGATTGTTACATGCATCAACTTCTTTCAATTTTCAAACAACATTATCAAATTCTGAGAGTACTCTCCATCAATCATTCATATCTATAGAAATAAATTTCCACAAGAGATGTTTCACAAACCACATTTAGGCGATTATACAATGTAAACAACTGATTTTTGAGTTAAAAGTTCATTAATTTTTCTCATTAGTGTTTCTTAGCGTCTGTGAAATGAGTTGTCCTCCTTTTGGTTTTCCGCAGACCAATATAAGTTGTTACAATTAAAAACACATGATTATAATGGCATGTTTGGAAATGACAAATATGGTCCATAATTCACCAAGGAAATAGGACAGTCCATGCGGTCTTAAATAATTATGAATATCAATGCAAGTCAGTAGTTAATTGCCAAGTTGACCCTCCAACACTCAATAGAATGGATAAGTTGACCCTTCAGGAGGAACACAAAAAGAGTCAAAACAAAACATATTCAGCAGAAAAGAAATCAGTCCCTGTAATTGAAAAATGAGTTGATCATTTTGAGTGCTTTTGGATAAGATATGAAAAGGGATATAACATTTAAGGGCTTGAAAACCCGCAAAGTTTCAACAATCTATGTGGCTGAACTTGCATGAATCTGCATTTGTTTGGGGATGAACCATGCATTTAATCCTAAATTTCAATATAAGCAATTTTGGTACTGTTTGCTATATACGGTTTAATGATTCATCATTGTTGGATTGAGTTCATGTCATACCCTTTTGATATTTTCTTCTTTTGGTGCTTTTTGTTCCAATTCCAACTTTTCTTTTGGTATATGATCTTTAATCCTGGTTTTCCCTCCCTTTGATTGTTCACCCTTTCTAGTTTCCTGCAAAAAATAAAAAATAAAATAAGTGTAAAACACTGAGCAAAATCATTAAATGAATCTTGCTTGATACTTGTGTATGTGTAAGAAGATATTGACAAAATGGATCAGGGCTTACTCTGAAGTTAGAAATAGCGGTTACAGTCTGCTGCTGCACCTGTTCCCCTTGCCGCTGTTTGGATGAGCCTGCTAGATTAGTGTCATGGTGGATGCCAACAGATTCATTTATGAGTGCTGCATATAACCCTGTTTTTACTAGTTGTTAAATGTTGTGAGATGGGAATATGAGCTTTGCTTTTTGAGAAGGGGATGTGTAGCATATGTGGTTTCTGTGTAAGTTATTTAGTAATAATATCTTTCAGAATCAGAAATTTAGTGCTAATGTCTTTCATAATTCATTGCTTCAATTGGTCACTCATTGGTGTAATTGTAATGTGGCGACTGTTTGTTTTGGTCTCTGTACATTTTCCGTTTGCTTTGGTACTTTATTGCTTCAGCTGGGCACTTCATATTTGTCTGTGACGTTATGGTAGATTGGGTCATTGAAAGTTTCTTGTTTTTTGGTTAATTCATCAATATCTTATATTTTGGTAATCAACGAAATTTTTTGGCAGATTGGAGCAACCGGTCAGCTAATTGGAGATCATGGCTTTTGAGGAGAACTAGGAAATTAGTTTACTTCTACTTGTTACTATAAGGTCCAAACATTAGTATTTTGTAAGGAGAAATGAGACGTGTATTTTATTTATGAAGCCTTATATTTTTACATTAATGTATTACACTTGATATTATTTTTGATGTCATTGTTATTATAAAATGAAAATTTCATACATATTTACATTGGATATTTTTTGTACTGATTTAGTAACAAATAGAACATTGCGCAAGTTAGAGGAAGAAGCAACTCCAAAAACAAACAAAAAAAAAAAAAAAAAAAAAAAAAAAAAAAAAAGAAGTTAGGGAAGTATGAAGCATTGTTAGCAGTGCTATGAGTGTGGTGGTGGTATTAGAAAATAGCCTTTCAACTTACTCTCGCATAGTTGAGTTTGAGAAATTCTATGAATTTTTTTAGTTCAACATTATATTTTACAGCTTCAAAAACGAAGAAAATGTCACAAGAAGTTTGTAGTATTTTTCGGTTTCTATTTTAGATTCTCTATTAGTTTTGGGTGCGCAGGATGTTCTTCTCAACCATCTGATCTTCCAACTCTATTTCCTTATTGGCATGGGTGCCAAATACTTGAGCTGGAAACTCACAGGCATACCTGAGAGGGAAAGGAAACAAATCTTGGAGTTGTATATATTATGACATACTACCAAACCCGAATGTCTCTTTCTTTTTTTGAGGTTGAACAGAATCAGGACTGGCAACCTCATCATCTCCCTAATTAACTACTACTGCCATAACAAGAGATGCAATGGAATCCAGTCTTCATATATTGTGAATGGCAACTATATGTGGGGCTCTTAGGGTTGAACCGCACAATGTGAGATCAAATGGAAGCTTCTCATATTCTTGAAGCACCTTCACCTGATTTGCACAACAACAGTCAACAATCATTCTCACCTTATTCTTCATAGGGATATTCTCTGGTGGGAACTTCTTTTTGCAAACCTCTATATGAGAACACCGTTGGATCAAATCCAACGGCTGCTAAGAAGCAATTGTAACTGAAAGTGTCTAAAACTGTTCCACTGGAACGATGCCTCCTCCCTCCAAAACGGATGTATTGTGCTCTTGAAGACCACAATATCTCCCTCCAAAAAAAGTTGTTCTCTCTCTCTCTCTCTCTCTCTCTCTCTCTCTCTGTATGTCTCTGTCTGTCTGTCTCAGTCTCTCTCTCTCTCGTAGGTGTAGCATTTATATTCACTGACGGGTTCATAGATTATTTCGTTGCAGACTCCATTATTTAATAATGTTGCATAGTCTATTTGATATTTGTGGAAAATTTGAAGATCAAAATCACTTATGAGGTAATTAATATCCTGGAGGAATTGTTTTTACCAAATATATTTGCATAATTTACGTTATTTTGGATGTCGGTTGTTTGATATTTCACTAGAGACTCCAAAAGGCTTCGTACATATAGCACTTGTATTCAGTAATGGTTCATAGCTTATTTCGTTTCATACTTCATTATTTACTAATGTTTGATAGTCTATTTGATATTTGGGGAAAATTTGAAGATCAAAATCACTTACGAGGTAACTGATATCCAGTAATTGTTAATTTGAGTATACTGGAGGAAATGTTTTGACCAAGTATATGGACATAATTTCGCTGGTTTGGATGTAGGTTGTTTAAGGTTTCACTAGAGACTCAAAACGGCTTCGTAGGTGAAGCACATGCATTCACTAATGGTTCATAGCTTATTTCGTTTTAGACTCGATTATTTACTAATGTTTGATAGTCTATTTGATATTTGTTGAAAATTTGATATTTCAGTGTTTATAGTATTGCGGTTAATATACATTTGAATGCTTTTTGAACGCATGTGGCAATATTATTATGATGATGATATGATTTTCAAGGTTAAATTGCAAGAATTGTGGAAAATGGAGTCTGAAGCAGAGGTGAAACCGGAAGTTAGTGTGGAGTTCAAACCAAAACTAGGACTTGAATTTGATTCTCTTGAGGATTCGTCGAAGATGTATAATCGGTAAGCACTAAAAGTAGGATAATATTCACTGAGAAACTCTTTTGTATCATGGCATCATTGTATATCATGCTTGTTGCATATTTCAGGCTGTCTATGTGGATTATGTATCATTATGGTTATCTTTATGCACCGTACAACACATATTCAACATCATTGTATTAAAACATTGTTTAGAAGATTGGATTTTCCAAATAGCAAAGAAGAAGGCGGAGAAGAAGAGGAGTGGGAGAGATATGTGTGAGGTTTTAGGGATATATGTGGCACATGCCCCACCCAAAAAAAGGGGATTATGAATTTTATGAAAACAAATATAATCATAATCATATTACACGTGGCACAACAAGAGATTAAAATCAAATCACATCAGTGTTTGTGACGTAATATGTATATTAAAATTCCAAAACATGATAAACTGTTGATAATCTTTTAAGTCATTTATAACACTTTACATTTTTTTTTTTTTTTACTGAGGAGAATCTAGGGAGAGAATTACGTAAAATTACATTTATGACACCCTACACTTTCCAAAACATGATTATCTTCAAATAAATGCGCGAAAATCTAGGGAGAAAATTTTCAGTGTTTTTTTAAACATTTTTTGTGAATTTTGTCAATTAAAAAAAAAAAAAAAAAAAAAGTGATGACATGTGGCGCTACAAAAGGAAGAAAATTGAAACTTTGATAAACGATTTGAATTTTTTATGTGTAAAAATTATATTTTAAAGCTTAAAAGATAAAGAAAATGTCATAATGAGTTTTTGAGAATTCTTGGTGATTGTGATTTTTGGAACTTAAAGCATTGCAAAATAGTAATAAATAGAAGAGAATGACACATGGCAACCCCAGATTGATGCATTATCAGAGTTTTCGACAGGTGTCAGTATCGCGTAGCGCCATGTGTCATCAGAGGTTTTTTTTTGTATCTTAAACTTAAAAGATTCACAAAAATGAATAAAAAAATCTTTAAAATGCACCGAAGATTTCAGAAAATCCCTTGCAACATTATCTTCAACCATGAGGCATGAAAACAAAATTTTGACTTTGGAAAATTTGAAGTAATAACTAGAGGAAGAGTTGTTATAAAGTAGTGATCAATACTTTGTAAACCACTTTTTGGACTTGGGATATGAAGTATTGATGTTGAGAAATATGTATGTAATTTTTTTTTCCTTTTATTTTAATATTTTAAACGATTTACAGTAAAATATGATTAAAATATAACAAATGTGACACATGTCAGCACAAGGAGAGCCTAGCATCCCATCACTTCCATGTGTCGGCAGGGGAAACCGCCACCTGGCATCCCATCCAATTAACTATTTATTTTTACTTCAAAATTGATTTAAAAATCGTTTATAATTCAAAAAATAATGTCGGGGATTGGTATGACATTTTCTTCGAGCACGTACGTCAAATTTCACTAGTGCATTCAAATTTCGATCCGATCCTTATGTGATCAAACAATCAATAGCTTAGGGTTTATAAAGTGTAGTTATGCTTTCATTTGCATCATTCACATTTAGGGATGACCCCCAAATTTTAATTTTAAAACAATTGTAAACCACTTTTTGGACTTGGGATACAAAGTATTGGTGCTGAGAAATAAGTATGTATATATTTTTGTATTTTTTCCATTTATTTTTATATTTTAAACAATTTTTATAAAATATGATTAAAATATAACAAATATGACACGTGTTAGCACAAGGTGAGTCCAACATCCCATCCACTTCCATGTGTCAGCAAGGAACGTTGCCACCTGGCGTCTCATGCAATTAACTATTTCTTTTGACTTTAAAATTGATTTAAAACGGTAGAGTTTAGTGGTTTGGGGTTTAGGGGTTAGGGTTTATGGGTAAAGGAGTATTATAGAAAGCGTTTTCATATGACAAACTTGTCATGCTATATATATATATATATATATATATATATATATATGAGTGTGTTTTTATGCTATCAAAACAGAATAACTTGGGATGGGTATTAAATAATATTTTGCATGTGTCATCTTCAAAAACCAAGTTAATAAAAAAAAAAAAAAAAAAATACTAATATACGGTATATGTTTGTTTGAAGATGTGTTTATCAACGTCGACTTCTTCAACCAACACTCAACCAAAGAGGTGTTAACTGCTGTGCTGAGATGGTCATATTAATTTTCAAATCTGAAAGGAATCTGCAGTGTTGAACATCATTACTTTCCCTTACAACAACTCTTCCTCCAATTATTACTTCATATTTCCCAAATTCAAAATTTTGTTCATATTTCCCAAATTCAAAATTTTGTTTTTTTTTTTTTTTTTTTTTTTTTTTTTTTTTTTTTTTTTTTTTTTTTTTTTTTTTTTTTTTTTTTTTTTTTTTTTTTTTTTTTTTTTTTTTTTTTTTTTTTTTTTTTTTTTTTTTTTTTTTTTTTTTTTTTTTTTTTTTTTTTTTTTTTTTTTTTTTTTTTTTTTTTTTTTTTTTTTTTTTTTTTTTTTTTTTTTTTTTTTTTTTTTTTTTTTTTTTTTTTTTTTTTTTTTTTTTTTTTTTTTTTTTTTTTTTTTTTTTTTTTTTTTTTTTTTTTTTTTTTTTTTTTTTTTTTTTTTTTTTTTTTTTTTTTTTTTTTTTTTTTTTTTTTTTTTTTTTTTTTTTTTTTTTTTTTTTTTTTTTTTTTTTTTTTTTTTTTTTTTTTTTTTTGGGGGGAACTTTGCCCTTCCATCATAGGAGTAAACACAAAACGGGTGAACAATGAGAGCTATGATTTATCTTCTATGTGTTATATATTGAGAAAGAATAAAGTTGAAAGCTTGCCACTGGGATTTGAATATTTATTTAGAATGTGAAATGGATCGAGAGGTTTTAATTTTTCAATGTTGCACTTCTGTTTTCCAGTTATGTTGAATAACAGCTTCTTTAATATTTCACTTCTCTGAATGTTTTAAGGCTGCAAGTTTCCCATTTGATGATCACATAATTGTCAGTGTCAATTAACCTTATTGATTCTGTATTTTTAAGGTTGATGTTACTTATCTTTTAGCATCATTCTGATTAACAATTTTTCTATGCTTTACCTAGAGATACGTCAAATATTTTGAGCATATCTTAAAAACTTCAATGGAGAAAACCCTTCCCCTCGAAGGTACACTTCGGATATCTTCCTCCAAAATAGATCAATGTGACCATTTACTTGTATGTGCCCATATATTATCACACACACACACGCATACATATATATATATATGTATATACATGCATATGTATGTGATATGGCGGTGTTGTAATGATGACCTAATTTGGGGACTTAAGTTGAAGACTTGCATCTGAGCTATTGGATTGGTTATAGATGGTTAAGGTGCATAGTGGGTGAGATGCATCTCAGTCGTCTATAGCTAAAGTTCTCAACATAGATCATTATTCGATCACCTACCTGTATATTATGTGTGTGTGTGTGTGTGTGTGTAAGGTTCCATTTTAAAAGGTACTAAAGTTGTAATATTATAGGTGCATGCTCAGGGGATTTCGGCTTCACAACTGCCCTTATTGGATTAGGCCATCCATTACAATCTCTGATCATAATGGTAACCTTTTACTTTGCTGCTGCCCGCAAATTCCTATCATCCTTGCAATATATTGTGATGTTTTGAGTCATCTCACTTTTCATTTATAGATATAATATGCTGTTATATTTGTTAATGTTGATCCTTTTTCTGCTACTGTTCACTTCCTGAACTAGTTACTATTGGACCTTTTGAGTTTGTTCGGGTAAAAAGAGCATTTACGATAAGTGAATGTAGTACTGAGTTACAGACCGCACTTCTCAGAGTTACCCTTGTGTATTAATACAATCCTTGACGCTGTAATGACAATACATTTTGTTTGTTCGTGTGTGTACGTGTGATTATCCTCTTCGCACTGATGTTTGATTGTTTAGTTTTCTTGCACGTGCATGTTTTTATAAGGCCTGATCATGAGAGGAAATCTCTGTAACTTGTAACGAAACTTACAGTATAATGTCAGTTGTTGATTCCTGCAATTTCTTGTGCTTTCTTTTTTGTATAATGTCAAATGGATATAATTTTTTTTTCCCACTTTTGCACATTTAGAAGGCTATGCGCTGCGCTTGTCATTTTTTTATGTCACTTATCAAGATGTTTTCCTTAATCCACAGGAATTTTATTTTCATCAAGAAAACATCCAAAAACAAAAGATTTCATGGTAAGTGCTTGTTAAAATAAAATGGGTGCATATTAATTGTATGCTTGTTATTTGATCTCCTTAACACCTGTGTCGACATGTATTGAATTCCTTATTTAAAGGCCCCCAACTCATTTTTTTCAGCCAGAGGATTTCTGGATCAATGCACGGAAGAAAGGGATTGTAGTTTTTGCTCTACCAGGGGAGCCTGGTCTGGCTGAGTTAGTGGGGGATTTCAAAATCCATTTCCATGATACTCAAGGAGATTTCTATTGGTCTGTACACCGATTCTTTATTTTACTCTTGTTTATGTTATGATTGAACTGTCCTTCACTGTTTCAATGAAGAATGTAGAGATCTGTAACTTGTGTCATGCATTGTTTGAAGGAACGTGCTTAGTAACATCATTTATGATTTCTTTCATAATTATTCCCTTCGTTTTTTCACTTTCAGCTGCTTAAATACAATGACAGATAACAGAAAAATCTTAACCGCAGATGACCTCGATGGTTTTGACAAGGTAAATGGTGTGACCTTATGACATATAATGTATATCAAATGTAGATCATATCTCCCTTTTTCTACCATCTGTTTCTATTTCTTCTTGGTGCTTGCTGGTGAAAAGCTGTTGGTTGTGATTTGCAGAGAAAATTACCCTCTCCAGGATTTCAGGTTGAAGTTTTGATGATAGACTATGATGGTACATTACCTACAAAAGCTAAAGCAGATTCTTCCAGTAGAAAACCTGAGGGTAGCTCAAGTGATGCCTCTGCTTCAAGTCATCGTGTTGCAGCTAATCCCAATCAAAATAAAACTCCTCACCGTGAAGATAGTGATGATGTATTTTCAGATAGTGACGGAGAGGAGGCTGGGGATACAAAGAGCACACAAGCGCACGGTAATTCTAGCGCCGGACTCCCAGCACCTAATCATGTATCTAACACCAGAAGGGAGGATACCCCCAAGAGTAGTTCTTCGAAAAAACCAACTTGCGATGGAGCTGACAAATCTCACCTGGTCCATCACTTCCCGCAAGCTGAGCTTATCTGGGGCAGAGGATACTAGGGCAATAGCTGCCGATGCTTGAGTTTTCTCTTTCCGGGATGATGATTTTGATGGTGAATGAAGCAGGTTTGCTGTTGCTTGAAACTGTATAAGACACACCAATGTATAAAACATTCCATACGCATGTTACATTGATTTTGGAAGGATCATAGGAATCAGATGTTGGTTGATTGACTTCATTGTTTTCACCTTAGGAATCAAATGTTAAGTTGGAATGATTGGTCATTTGTTATTACCTTCCAAAGCACACTGAACCAATGTAATCTATAGAAAATTTAACAAATCAAGGGACGTACATTGAACCTTGACTTCTACTGTATAGTTCCCAGGAATGGCATTGTGCAATTCTTCACTAGGCACTGTGATTGGTATCCTGTGGAGAAGTAGCTTTGCCATATTAACTTCACGTACCTACAATTGAAAGAGTTATTAGGACAGTAATGGCGTACCTGGAATCACTGCCTTGGGGTTTAAAATATTATGAAAAATTAAAAAACTCACATCCTCCTGAACTGGGGGGATAATATCGCCAATTTCACGCTTTATCTTAGCAAGAACAAGTTTCATTGCAGCACAAGCATCATCTAGACAATTGTGTGGAGAACCTGGCTTCCGGACTTCATAACCCAATACAGACTGGAAAAAACAAAAAGATAAATGGAAAAATAAGTCAAGACTCATGCATCTCAAACAGCCCAAACTCGTGGTTGCTTGGATTTCGTTCTTGTGATTGTGATCCAAATCCTTAAAAACTTAATCCTACAAATAGCTCCCAAGTGCAATATGCAATGACAAAAAAAAAAAAAAAAAAAAAAAAAAAAAAAAAAAAAAAAAAACAAATCAATCACGATTATCTATGTCACCATCCTAAACGGCCAAATTTAGAAAACATTTGCTACATTGCAACAAGTAAGAAAGTAAAGATCAAAAGATTTCTGGTCATTCCAAATTTAAAATGGAAGAAGAAAAACTGAGAATCAATTGCAGAATCATGCCATAGACAACTTAATAGATTTCACAGTGAGAACCATATGAAAATTTGACTGATATAAAAGTGAGATTAGCAAGTTTCGTAAAACTTGCCCTGCACAAATTATTCAAGGAAGGTTTTCTAAAAATAGGCCCATCCGAATATATAAAGATATATGCAGTATCAATCACCCTTGCATGGTCTATCTTCAACGCTGTAAACAAAAGAATAATAAGAAGAAGAAAATTGAACAATAAAACATAAATCAAAAGAACTGCAAAGTCATACTTCAATTGCACAGAAACTGAAAGGAAAACAAAATTCAATGAGTTGATTATGCAATCAAAAAGGCCCAAGTATACTTATAGAAACATCAGTTTACTTCCCTTGCAGGTCATTACACAAACTGTGTCCCACTAAAATAGTTTCACCTGATAACAACTTCTTCAAGCGTTTCTACAATATGCAACAAGAAGTTCGGGTATTTAAAAATTAAAATCTGTTCATAGATGATCCCTTGAAACCAGATGATAAAAAAAATCCCTTCAAACCTATGAATAACATTAATACCTGTATATCAGCCAATGTGCATGTAACTCTATGCAGAAACTCCTGTAATCTCAGTTCTGTAATCAGCAACTTTTTTACGAGGGTTTACTAGTTCATCTAGCTTGACCTGAAAGGCCAAAGTCCAAACTTAAAGGGTTATATTGAAGGGATTTTGAAAAGGTCTAACTACTGATCAGTTATCTAGTCTAAGGTGGAGAGCAGCTATACCTGTAAACTTTCATCAACAACACACACTTTAACTAGAGCTTCAGAGCCATCTTCACATAGAACCATCTCACAACCAACGGCAACCATTCCATTTGAAATCGTCGCATTGGACTTTTTACCGCGCTTTGAAACTACCCAGTCCTGCTTTGCCATTTACACTAGTTAACAAACCAGATGACCAGGTAAAAACTTACATCCATTTGAAAAAACTAAGATGTCTAAAAAAGGATCATAGGCTAGTAGGAAACAGCATAGATATTCTGTGTAGGAAGTAAAAATGCAAGCTAAAGACATGCAGAAATGCAAGAAAAGATTTCACTGCAAGCATACACAAATTTATGTAACTTTAAAACAAAAAGTAAAAAGAGATACTGCCAGCAAACCTGTTCATGCGATGGGAATGAATAATCCAATGGATATTGTGGGTGTTTGAGAGTTGAACAGACAAGACTCTGCACAGCCACCACCACGACAAAATTAATACTATCTAACAAATTGTGCATATTGAAAATCAAATGGCAATTAACAATTACGGCAACATGGCTCTCTGAAACTACAGGCGCAGCCAACCAATAACCAAAGTTACAGAAAAGAATACCTGCTCTGGGGATTAATTTTCTGGAATAGTCTTTAACAATTGATCAACTGCTTGGCGATTTGAATGGCATTGGACAACTTTAGCCAAAACCTGGAATTAGGAAATGGGTAACAATCATCATCTGAATATGGTATCATCAACTTTCAACTTTTAAGTTCTACACTTTCCGTATAAACTTTAGCCTATATGATTTCTGAGATATTCAAGGGTGTTTTGGATATTTTCCAGGGATGGATTTTCATATTATTTTTCACTAGACTCTCCGTACGCGCTTTTGCACCTGCTGGAGACTTTTTAAAAAAAAATTAAAATTTATTTTAGAATCAAAAAATATAATGGGTAGTTGTGTTCTATAAAAGTAGAATCCATTACCTGATTTTCTTTTCATTTTAATTTTTTTAATATGAAAAAGTGTGAATTTTTAACATATTATCCTCATTTAATTAATAATTTCAATTATTAATGTTTGCATTAACTAATAGCATTTTATGATATTTTGAATGTTTTACCATTCTCTGTATAGATTTTCTTTTGCCTTATTCTTTTGCCCTTGGATTAGTTATAAAACAATAATTTTGGGCGTCATTTCCTATATCATGATATTTTAATTTATCCATAATCAACATTAAAATAAGGAGTTGCATTCAAAATACACATTATTTGTGTGTTTACTAATTATGGGAAATAAAAACACTAGTGAGTAGCACATAGTATTATGAATTCAATTCGTAATTTTGAAGGAATTGGAATCTTTGGGTGGAGAATCATGGTAATCTCATTGTTGAAAAAACAACCCATAATAGTCAATGGGGTTTAGCCGAGTAGAAAAAAGTCTTAACTTGCAGACCATAGGCCTCAAGTTTGAATCCTCACGGCATCATATTTGTGTGTGCGTGAAAAATCCCTTCATCCCATGTAATTTAGACTATAGTTTGAACTAAAAGAAACATCATCATAAATTCACTTCTTACCCATTATCATCACACAATTTCTAAAGTTTCAAGGTTACAATTCTCTTTAACCTACTAAGTCCCGTCCCTCAATTTTTATTTTATTTTTCGATCAAAAGTCACGTCCCTCAATTATAGATCAGTAAACATGTGATCTATTCTTCAAATCCCAACTAATAATTTGGGTTGGTAATAAACAGTTGGGATAGCTTGGTAATAATTATATTAACAGCCCTATTTAGAGGAAATACATAATCTGCCACAACAATAAGTGGGAATATTGAAGAAAAAGGAGGGTCAAGTTGGTCGGGCTGCACAATCTGGCAAGATATACCCAATCGCTTTTTTCACGCTGGCAATAATACTGCTGGGAGGATAAGCATGCAGGCAAACCACCATGGCCTTAAATGTTGGAAGAAATTCAGGAACAATGCTTCTGTAACGCTCACAAGCTGTCTCTCTTGTATAACGCTCACAATCAAACCAAAACCACACAAAGAAAAGCTTAACTTTGCCTTTTTCAACTTTGTATAATTGCTTGCTTTGCCTTTTCAAGTCGAAGCTAGCTGCAAAAGTTTGATCTGTGACTCAAATAAAACCAAACCCTCAAGCCTCAACCCACTCAGGCACTTAGAACAGAATCAATGCGTCACACTCCAGAAGGCCTCTCAATACAACAGTATCACCCATATCACATTAAATTGCACAAGGGCTATATGCAGCATGAATTCAAACTCAACCAACACAACCACAGATCAGAAAACAAATACAAGCAGTTTAGGATTCTCTTTGATCGAGCAAAAACTGATTATAATGTACTTCCTGCATCAAAACTCAACACCATCCCGCAGATATATATTCCATCGATCACAATAGTAGAAACAAGCCACACAAGTCCTACCAATCTAATAGTAGAAACAAGCCACACAAGTCTTACCAATCTAAAAGTAGAAACAATCCACAAACTACCTTCAGCTCAGATAATAAAAAAAAGGGCCCAAAAAAAAGGAGGGACAAATGATATCAAGGGGAAAATGTACGAAAAAGTAAACAAGTTCTCAAAGAAGCAAATTACCAAAACTGCAGAAATGAAGTAGGTATGCTTCCTGGACAATTGACCTAAATAAGTACAACTTGAATGCCAGCTTTTCTGAAGGCATTTCCTTGCGAACAAAAATCCAACACAGCATCACAAGGCCGAAAATGAATACAGAAGAAATTCAATTGATCAACAAACTGTAATGTAAAACAACATGACAACGTGAGCTGAGGCCCCAAAGGCAACTTTGGTCGCCCACATATAGATTCCCTACGAGTTTCCACTGGAACTACTCTCACTAACTGGCCACCTTCTGAATGTGCATGGAACAAAGCTCCTACCTGAAAAAAACCCAAACTTTGTTCTAAACAATGCCAATGGACCATTGCTACTTGATGGGGCAATAGCAACCGCTACGTGATCCATCTGAAACTCCATCCCGCTTTCTACAGCTCCACTTGCACAGCCACTAGGATCGATTGATCCAATTTCACCAGCATCCCAATTCACAGTCAAGGATCCTCTCCGTTCTCGCAACCACTCTGCGGCCTCACCGCTCACTCCTCTGCACTTCTTGACCTTAATCTTGGCCAAACTAGGACAACCCCAAGCAAGCATTTCAAGACCGACATTGGAAATTGGGCACCCCTTGATACAAAGCTTCTTCAGCGCCACGCATTTCGCAGCAATGCAAGCAAACTCTGCATCCCCAATTGAGCCACTACCGCAAAGCGCCAACCTTTCCAGCTTCTGGCAATTGGAAGCTATTGCCGTCAAGCTCAAAGAGGTGGGATTGACGCCAATCAGAACAAGCTCTTGTATGTTTGGGCACTCTTTAGCTATGGCAATCAAACCCTCATCCCCAATCCTATTTGTCCTCCATCCATCAATGTGAAGCTTCCTCAGTAGCTTACAGTGTTCGGCAACACAAATAAGACCAAAATTCGAACACTCAGGAGCCTTAACAATGTGCAAGACCTCCAAATTCGAGCATTTCGAAATTCCCGAAAGCCCCAAATCGGTCACTTGCAACCTCTCTAGGTGAATTTCAATCAAACCCCGATATCCATTTCCAAGCTTTTCCAAAACCCTATCCCAATCCCCCAAACAGCGGATTAGCTTCAAAGTCTTGAGATTTTTTGAACCGACTATAAGCGGTCCAAAGCACTGTCCATTAAGTATCTCCTTCAAGGTTATAGATTTCAGCGAGGACGACGCCATCTCTGCGCCGATCGGCTCCGAGCCGTCTTGGACGCCACGGAGCCGCTTCACCGAGAGCTCCTCGAGCGCCGTGCAGTGCTCGACGACGGCGTTCATGGCTTTGGAACCGAACATGCACGAGCCGCACGATAGCTTCTTCAAGCCTTTACAGTTCTGCGCGAAATAGGCCATCCCAAGGTCGGTGATTTCGCGGCAGCCACGAAGCTTGAGCCGCGTGAGGCTCTTGCAGCGGATCGAGATCAGGACCAAAGCGTCGTCGTCGAGGCTGATCGATTTGCGATCGCAGCGAAGCGCGAGCTTCGTGACCGAGTCGAAGCGAACGAAGAGAGAAGGCAGGAAAGGGAGGAGCCCGGCTTGGGCCTTGAGAGAGAGGCGGTGCCGGCTCTGGCCGTCCACTCGGAACCACCGGTGGCAGACTAGCGAACTCTGTTTCCGGTCGCCGGAGCCGAGGAAATGGAAAATACTGGCCAAACACTCGTCGGGAAGATCGGCAGTGTAGTCTCGTCCGTGAGCGACTTCCTCGTAAAAGTCGGGTTCTTCGTCGGGCTGAACCGGCGAGGAGGAAAGAATCGGCATCTGTTTGAAGCTGAACCGGCGGCTGGTTGAGATTTCTCTATGGCCATGCTCCGCTGGAGCCTCGGGAAAGGAAGAAGACTGTCCCATAGTTCTGCCGCGACTGAATTCGACGCGCCGCCAGAAGAGCGTGTCCGGGAGAGAAATGGGGAGAGAGTTTTGGTGGTTGGGTTCGATTTTGGTTATTTCAAAGTTTGTGATTATCTATCTAGTTTCGCTGCTTGTGTGGGCGTTGGCGCTATAAACTTATAAAAGGCGCGTAAGCCGTACGTGTGCGTGTGTGCGAATGGGTGTGTGTTTTTATGTGAGCACTGAACTATGAAAACCCGTCAAATGGGGATGTTCCGTGACCTCCTCGCAATCTCCACGGGCCACGGCCGACCATCATTATTCATGCATTGCCGTCATAGACGCGCTTTATTTTCTTTTTTCTTTTTTCTTTTTATTTTCTATCATTTTTTTATTTTGTCGATTATATTTTGCACCTTTTTGTATTTATTTTTAGGATGAACTATGATATTTTTGCATTATGTCTTTGGGGACTATGTAACAATCTTGTCCATATCTTTTAAAACTATTACAATATTCACCATTTCCTCTGTCAAACTATGAACTTAACCGTCTTTTAGCACTTTGTGAATTCATTTTTTCACTTGTACATCATTTTCCACTTTGACATATATAATTTATTGCTTGTTTATATGAAATTTGTTAATTTACACAATATGAAATTAGCGTTTAGGCAACGAAAAATAAAATTCATTTAATTTTACATCAAGAAATAACGAATATACTCACGAGTAATGCCATTATAGTATAACGATTTGTAAATTGTAATTTGAAAATGTATTTTTCTCATAAATTTGTAAAAGACAATGAGCAAGCCCTAAGAGACACCAAATCATATAGGTATAGAGTGATAGATTTTTTTCTTCTTTCTTTCATTTAATGTTTTGAAGTGCGCGGCTTAGCCAAATTGTATGTTGGACTAACGAATTAATGAGGTGGATTATTATGTGATTTAGTGATTGTGTTTTGTTTGTTGACCCCAAATCCTCAGTTCAACTCAACTGGTGTTGGTGCCGTCTGAATTCGTATGCGTGTTTTGGTTTATGTGAGCTCTAAAACCTAAAAAAAAACACAAGTCTACACATCGTAACCCTTTGACTAGGACTCGGTCTATACCGTTTAGCCATGCTTTAATTTCAGGTTTACTTTTCTACCTAAGTTATTAACTACTATAATAATAAATAATAAAAAAGTGGAAAAATAAAAGAAAGAAATCTCTGGTTGGTTGTCAAATGCATGAATGAGTGTTGATTTGGGTGCATGCACATTTTTCTTTTGCTTTGCTATAAAGAAACATATGAAACATGAATGCTAAGCCTTTATTGGTGCTCAAAAGAAATAATAAATATTTTGAAAGATAGAAAGGGAAAAAAAAAGAGAGAGAGAAAGAGAATCAAGTGCTATGTCCACTAGTTTTTCTTTTTCTCTCTTTAAAGGCCATGTAATGACTCATATGTATTTTGAGACCCTACTCCCATGAGTTGCCACATTTCTATGACATCCAAATGAAGTATGCAATCGAATGGTGTTGAGTAAATATTCTTAATCGCTTAAATTATTACAAATTTCTTGTCATGCATATATCGTATGTATTTTCCAAAATAACACTAATTTCTTAGATGAGAATAATCTAATTCATCCAAACCAACCCAGTCGATCCGTTGGTAACTTCATTGGATTTGACTGGATCTCCAAACATACCTAGATTTGTTGATAAATATTTCTGTAAAATCTAATTAAATCTGGTTAGTCACATACTCACACACTTGGGAAGTTAAGAGGTAATTTCATGAAGTGAAAATCGATCAGCGGTCGTGGTCTTGATTTAAAGTTTCAACCAATGGTCAAATACGTTGAGAATCAAATGAATGACCAGATGGTGATTTAAAATAGCAGCAAAGAGCAAAGACCAGATGTCCTTTTTTCTTCAAAATTCCCCTATACGAAAGTTTCCACGTTTTGAATCGTCCAAGTTCGAACTGAGGAGGGTACGTGTGTGTATATATATATATAGATATATATCTGATTCATTCTCATGCAATGCAAGATGGTCAACAAGACAGCACACGAATATGTTGGTGCCATCGTGCCAAACGCTTATTCAAACTTTTCAAATATGGGGGCTTTTTTTATTTTTTATTTAGAATTAACACTGACTAGTCTCGCACTTCAATGGTCAGAATTTCTCCCACTCTCTTTTACTTACATATTTTTGCTTTAATTTCCAGATATATTCCAAGTCTTCTCTGGAAGATATCTGGTCTTAGTTTCTGGCCTTTTTTTTTGGGTCTTGCTGTTAATATACTCGTAATTTCATTTCTAAACTGTTAATATTCGTGTGTTTGGATTGTTATTGACTTATTCTTTGTATGTTTGGATTGCTATTTTGGAAGTGAAATATTCTAGTCTTTGTTGTTAGTTTTTTTTAAGGTCAAATGTGTCTTTTAGAAAGATTTGTAAGCTGATTTATGGTGAAATAACCAAAAGGGGTTTATGATCAACTATGTTATAACTTCAAGCATTCGACTTGTAAATTTCTCAAGTGTTGGATATATAAGAAAGAAAAATAAAAGCAGAGCTAAACTTCAAACATTTGGGCCAAAACCCTAGCCCACAATAAGAGATCACTCGGCTCTCTTAAAGCCCAATATATTTATGGGTACAATTTTGGATAAAAAGTCAACAATCTCCGTCTTGACGGAATTTTGAAATATCAATATCTTTTCTGAATAACCCTTTTTAATTAAGTGTATCAAATAACACCTTTGATGAATATGAATAAAAGAATGTCATGGACTGAGAATTGTAACTATAACGGTCCAAACTCAAAATAAAAAAATTATCAGAGGTTCAAACCTGACTTTGAAGTTTGAAAGTAATTAGATTTATCAAGTCTCCTGATCCTGAATCCCAACAGGGTATATTAATTTATCAAGTCTATATATAATAACATTCAACAATGTACTTTTTTTGGCTTCATACTTCTAAAGTCCTAGAAATTTAGCCAGCTGACTAGGTCGCTAGCTAGTTCCAATATATAATATAACTAGGTTTGAACTCTCTTATTTCACATTTTAAATGTGGACAAACTGTGAGTTGTTGTGAGCTTGATATTAAAGCCTTGCAGGTATGAAGATGAAAATATGGAGTGAGGATGTGTCACAATGCTTAATTGTGTTCATTTGACATAAGACTTTTATGAGATAGTAATGTTACATCTTAAGTGACAGAGACCGTCTCATCACGTGGCATGTCCGACCAACCTCACAAACAAGGAAGTTTAAAACCGTGTATTTTGGTCTCATCCAACTCCACGCTAATCCCACTTCATGTGTGAAATAGATGATTAATGCAGCAATTCTACCGAAGAATCCCTCTTAAGTGGATTACAAAAGCATCCCCACATTGACTGCATTTGTGCAACGTGGGCTTAAACTGCAATCTTTCTAGAACGCAGCTAAATTATTGGATGATCAAAAACATTGATCGTGATTCGTGTGTGGAAGATGAATTGTGGGCTTTAATTCCCTTAGAGGCCTTGGGCAGGAAAGCCCAATTATTTAATGAAGATGAAGAAAAGAGAGAGATAGAGAGAGATTCTTCTGACTTTTAACTAAACTACTGGTGCAAGCAACAGCTGCTACACTGTAAACTTTTGGCTGTGGCGTCTGTTTATAACCAATTAATGAAGATCAGTAAACGGGTATCTTCTTCCTAGTTACTATTTTATTTTTCGGGCTAAATTGTAGTAATGATCCCTGAACTGTATCCCAAGTTACATTTTCGTCTCTAAACCCCAAAAATAGTTGATGTTGTCCTCGAATTAGGTTACACGTTGCACTCGTGGTCCTCGAATTACCCCTAGTTACATTGTCTTGGCTCTTTATTTACTATTGGATGCTCACCTCGAATTAGGTTACACGTTGCACTCGTGGTCCTCGAATTACCCCTAGTTAAATTGTCTTGGCTCTTTATTTACTATTTGACGCTCATATCTAATATATTATCAATCGAGCCACGCGAGACAAGAAGATGAGAAAGGCAGGCTGGATATTGTACAGCATGCGGAAAAATGCATCAACTTGATTCTGTTCTCTTTTCTTTTTTCTCTCTATTTTTGTTTTTCTCTTTGGGCAAACATATGCAAGTTTTATCACTTTGGTTGATAGCAACAGTACCTTTCTCGTGCAACACAAAGTAAGAGCCAGAGATTATATAATATATACATATGGAATCTGATCTCTCTGATTTTTTTCTTTCACTGACGTTCATGAAGTTGAAAACTTAAAAGATACCATTCATGGCCTGCTGCTGAGGCCCTGAGCAAAAAGAGAAGGAAAATCAAAACCTTTCTAAAGCTGGGTACGTGGTTAAGCTGTTGTGCTGCTACAAAATCAAAACCTTTCACCGAAAAAGAAAGTGTGCAGAAGAAAATATTGAGGCTGGGAATTTGGGATTTGCTTTATTTCCAAAGCCATGTTTATTTGTGTTACGTCTGTAAATACCAGTGAGAAAGCAGTAACAAAGCTTAGCTGCATCAGTAAAAGCTGGTTTGTGTGTTATTAATTGTTGCAATAGTTTATAACTAAATAAAAGCCAAAGTAAAATACATAGGGTGTACGGCGTGCGTTTCAGAGAGACAATACGGCAACAATTATTTATGATGTTGTTTCACAGAGAGAGAGAGAGAGAGAGGAGAGAGAGAGAGTAGAGAGATGAAACGAAAAAAGAAAAGCACATTGACAACTCTGCCGAGTCAAGGAAACTGTGTCTCTGTCTCTCTCAACTCTCCATTGACAAGTTCCCTCTCTTATTTGGCATGAGCTTATTGAGCTGTTCCTTTCCTTCCTTTTCAACCAACACCCTATCAATGTTTAATAAAAGGAAAATCCTATGCATTCGCGGACCCATGAATTTTTTAGTGAATGTACAATTTTAAAAGGCTAAAAAGTCTTTGTGAATTGAACATCTAAGGCTTTTCACATAGATTGACGTTAGGTCCCTTCAGCATTCATATCATACATAAAAAACTGTTTTATGGAAAAATATTGACTAAGTATGAAAAATGGTTTTTCGAAATAATCATTTTCTCAAGATAATTTTTGGCGCCTTTTATTTCTTACACATCAAATAAGAAAACTTGATTTTATGGGATTTTAGTATGAAGTGTATATTAACTTAATGAGCCATCATTTTTAGCATAAATCGTATTTTGCACTAAAACTTATTTTTCATAAAGTTAGACAACGGTTTTTCAGCAAGCCTTACAATGAGCTCTAGGAACTCTGAATAGTTGTTTGAACAATGAGTTACATTTACGTACCATAAGTACTAATATTGGTATATTTGGAACGGTAAAAGAAATAACGGATTAGTCCTTCTAATGCAAGCTTTTGATTTGGTGGGAATTTGATTTTCTAGTATTTTTATTTGAATCCAAATTAGGGGTACTTAAGTTCAGGCTAGTACAAACAAAGATTGTTTATGTGTTAATTGTTCTTATTAATTCATATTTTTAGTTAACAATGGTTAATCAATAACTTTTACCTTTCATTGAATTTATGAGTACTAATAAGCATTAAAGTTTTTGTTTCAAGCTTGTAAGGTAGAAGGTAAATGAAAGGAAATTGCATTGTTGCATTGATTTACTATATGAGATTATTCCCAAAACTATCAATGGGAAATTTGATACGATTAAGTTTGGTTATGATCATTCTGCATTCTAGTCTTGACGGAAGTCTCAAGTGATCTTGAGAGCTTGTATGCATAATTATAAAGACCTTGAAATATTGAAATGTTCAATAAATCTTGATAGTTCCATGCTTCTTCTTTTGATTGACAGTGACTTGATTAGGAATTATAGTTGAGTTGAATTCTATAGGCCTTACAGTAATTGATATCGAGTTCTTGATGATCATTAGACCAAGTGGGAGACTGTTAGACATACAGATGTCTATCTCATTAAAGTGTGGTCTTATAATCATCAAAGGATTCTAAGACTTGATATCAATTAGGAGTTCAAATACAACTAAACCTACAGCTCTATTAAAGTTAGTGTACCTTATTTACATTGTAAATTTAAGTAAATGGACTAATATAAAAATAAATAAAAGTACATGCTTAAAATGGAAATAAGGTAGTCTGTACACCTGCAGTGCACCACCACCAACTGAGCAAATGGGCAATTTGAAGCACCTACAATGATTTTTCCGACAAATGGAGGTGTAGTTGCACCTCCTTGTGCCTTAATAGGTCTGCTACTGCTATGCATATATACCACATTATGTACTACCTCGCTAATAGAGGTAAAGGTGATATATAAATGTGATAAGCCGAGCATTACCCTTAATTAAAACAATCCTATTTTCTCTACCAAATTAGGAGGTGACCATTTTAAACAGTACTTGTTACATTAAATGTTAGGGTTAATCACTGAATTCATATGTCAACTACCTATATCACGTGGTTAACAACTCTACTCCACTTTACTAAGCTCATTTTTCTTTATACTTTATGCGAAACACAACTTAATGCATGCACATGCGCGTCAAATTGTGGATATATAGTATGTAAGTAAAAATGACAACTTCCAAGAGAAAGAGCCAAACCGTCAGTTAATATGGTCTAAGCAGTATTGCTCTTTCCTCCCAACCCTCATAATAACAAAAATTAAGTTATTCAATTCAACCAAAAATAGATGGTGAATGAACATTTAGTATAGTAACATTCAATCTCCACTTGCTCTCGTACCCAAAAGAAAAGAAGAACAAAAAGGACAGTTTATATCTCATGTAGGGCAGCCGAAAAACCCTTGAATAATTGAAATTTTTGTGGGTTCCATTTTGTACCTAATCTAATGTTTCGTTTGTCCAATTTTTGATTTCCTTCTTGGGAGTGGAGCCTTCTTTTATTTGATAGATTATCAAATTCTTAATGAAGGCCAACAACTCTTTGCGCTCCTTCCAAAAGGACCAAAAGTGTTATTGGGCCTCACCCACCATTCTTTTTTGTAGGAAGATAGGAACCAGGAAATTTCTCTTCGGATGCACAGAGCACAGGATCTTCTTAAATTCTTACTTTAATCCCCATCTACCAACGCTACATCGCTAAACAAACAAATTCCACTTTCCATGCGCTAGGAAATTTCTCCTTTCTTTTGCAATTTCCATACTAGGACTTATTAATTGCTTAATTCAAAAATAATATCTTATCTACATTTTTTTTAACTTTCCTTATTAAAAAAAAATTAATGTTATTTGTATTACATTTATTTATAACATTACTGACCACCTTTCTAATTGTGATGAACCCGGCAATGTAATCAGCAAATATGATACAAATAGCAACATCCATTAAAAAATGTTTCGTTGAATAGACTTGAATTATATAGTGAAATGACTATTTGTTAAATTGGATTTTTATATTAACTGTTTAAGTTTTTAATATTTTTATTAGAATAGTGACTTCTCTTGGAAAGCGTAAATAACCCAAAAGGCTGCTTAACTCGGTAGAAAAGTAAACGGAGCTGTGAAAAGGTGAATAATAACATTCCTCTTTTTGAATTATGCGAGAGTAAAAGAAAGAAACCAAACGACCAAAGCAAAAAACCAGGTTGAGCTTCTCTGTGAATCCAAAAACCGACTGTCGGTAATTCCAACAATCCCCACTGTTTGTGTCATCGGGTTGACCAACTATGCCTTTGTATTGGTACACGTGTCACTCCGTCAGAAAACACAACAATCACAGCCGGGGTAACTTTATCAACGACGTTCATGTTCCTCGTGGTCAACGCTTTATCTTCACTATTGAGTATTTTTCCCGCGTGATAGTCACGTTTCCATCTCAATCATCGAAGTCTCCAATCCTACGATCCCCAATTTCCCAACGTAGAGACTGTGTTTCACGCGCTCATAAGGAAAACCAGTCGCTTTCTTATAAACACTAAACTGAAATTATTAGCCCAAAAAAAAATAATAATAATAATTTTACTCAAAAATCTCTAAATAATAATTTATTTTGAGTATAATTCCAAACAACAACTTAATAGTGTAACATGTTGAATTGTCTTACAGTCGAACATCATCCACTAACACATATACATTAATTAGTATTTTAAGATTAAGGAATTAGTGTTATTATTTTTAAATTCACACTTAGAATTTATCTTACACACCAATGAAGGTTGGTTGAGTTGGTAAGGATCATCCTCTTCGCTATCAAGATCTAAGTTTGAGTCTTGTTGCCGACAATTCCTTTTGATGAATAATATGTAAAAACCAAAAAAAAAGATTAAGACCTCTCTTTAAGTCCTCAAATAAAAGCTCTTCCCCTAAACTTTTGAAAAACCCTAGATTTATCTTTTTTTTTTTTTTTTTTTTTTTTTTTTTTTATGGATTTGTATACATATATAAGTACCAAAGGTACCAAATTGATTAAAACTTCACTTTGCGAAACCAACTTAAAAGGAAGGTGAGATGACTACGCTATCAATTGTTACACATTAAGTTTTTATCTCTCAATGTCTCGCTTGAAATATATTTTTTCATGAATTGTGAGTCGAGAGTGCTAAATCTTAGAGTCTTTTAGAGCTTAATACATATTGATATATTTCTATGAAAATCATTCCTTATTTTAGTGATTTGTGGTTGAGATTTCCAAATTTGAGAGTAAAAGTTCAAGTATGAAAATCATTCTCTCAAATAAATTAGTTGAGAGTTTAGTTCATTTAATATTTTAGTCTTTTTTTGTTTGTTTTTGGATCATTAATGTTTTAGTCAATTTTATTTTGTATTTAAATTGTTCTGATTCCATCTAATATATAAAAATACGGGGCAAAAAGAAAAAGGAAAAATATAGGACAGGCGTGAAGGGCTTCTCAGATAAAACCCTTCGTCTGCTTACTGCAATTGGCGCTCTCTCTCTTAAAAGTCCAGAGAGAGAAACACATTCAGAGATGGATATGGGCATGAGCTTAAGCTTTTCTCTTTTCCTTGTGCTTATTGTATAATGAGCAAAGCTTTTATTTTCTTCTTCTCAGAAGAAGATGGCTCTGCAAGAAGAACCCCAAGAGCTACAGAACCCTCCAATGGCTTTTGACGCTTTGTTTTGTGAAGAAGGTCTTGAGGAAGATTTGGGAGACAATGGTATTGAGGAAGAGAGTGAGGGTTGTGTTGGTAATATGGAAAAGCAGTCAACTTTCCCTCTGGTTTTGCTAGAAAATGACTTTTTTTGGGAAGATGATGAACTTGCCTCTCTAATCTCCAAAGAGGAACAAACCCATGTGTGTTTCAGTGGTTCAATCTCAGATGGGCCTTTAATGGCGGCTAGGACAGAGGCAGTGGAGTGGATTTTGAGTGTTAAGGCACACTATGGGTTCTCTTCTTTGACCACTGTTTTAGCTGTGAACTACTTTGATAGGTTCATTGCCAGCCTACGGTTTCAGAGGGACAAGCCTTGGATGAGTCAGCTCGCTGCCGTCGCTTGTGTGTCTTTGGCTGCCAAAGTGGAAGAGATCCATGTGCCCCTTCTCTTAGATTTGCAAGTATGTGTAATGCCCATTGCAGTTTTGGTGTTCGTTAAATTGCTAGACTATTGTGTTTCTTGGTCCAGTTCTTCTTTAATCAATCAATGTGGTTTTTTTTTTCTTCTTCCTATTGTGTTTAGGTGGAGTCGTCAAAGTACGTATTTGAAGCAAAGACCATTCAAAGAATGGAGCTTTTGGTGCTGTCAACTCTTGGGTGGAGGATGAATCCAGTAACTCCAAATTCATTCTTTGATCATATTATCAGGAGGTTTGGTTTGAAGATCCACTTACATTGGGAGTTTCTGTGGAGATGTGAGCGCCTCCTTCTATCTGTCATTGCTGGTGAGCAAACAACAGACCTCTCTATTTCATTTATACTCAATGGGTTTATTAGCATCAAACTTATATCAAATGGACCAAAATGTATGCACATTGACACCACTTGGTACTAAATCTCATCTTCAATATCGAATTTTAATCGCAGATTCCAGATATATGTGCTTCATGCCTTCCATATTAGCTACTGCAACAATGCTTCATGTTATTGATGAGATTGAGGCATTTAATCCTGTAGAATACCAGAGTCAGCTTATGAATGTACTTCAAGTCAGCAAGGTTTGTACTTAAAGACATGGATTTCTCAGTTATGTAATTTATTCTCTCCTGCTTCTGAAAATATAATGTAATCTAAACTTGATGTCCTAAATAGTTGAGTATTATGATGTTTTTTTACAGGACAGAGTCAATGAGTGCTACAAGCTCATCCTGGAACTATCAGGCAGCTATGGCAACATCCACAACCAGAGCCACAAACGAAAGCATTTATCAGTACCCGGCAGCCCTAATGGAGTTATTGATGCATCTTTCAGCTGTGATACATCAAATGATTCGTGGGCTGCAGCATCACCGGTCTCATCCTCACCAGATCCTCGATTTAAAAGGAGCAAACTGCAGGACCAGCAGATGCGGTTGCCTTCTCTAAATCGTGTGTCTGTGGATGTGCTTAGCAGTCCTCATTAATCTCTTCTTGTCTATTGTCTACTATTAAACATGGTAGAATATACAATCCCTCTTTTGCATATTATATTATTGGCGTTATCTATCTTAAGGTGCAATTAGTATCTTCTACGCTATATGATTCCTTTTGTGGCCAAACCTGTGAAAATGAATATATATATATATATATATATATCTTTCTCTCTCTCTCTCTCTCTCTCTCTCTCTCTGAAGAGATGGTTTGGATGGGGCAGGACAGGACAGGAGGGTGAGGTGTGTGTGTTCAAGGATGAATGGAAGAAATCGTGTCTGATCTGCCATATTAGGGTGTTGTATACCTATTTAATGTATACACACACGAGTATGTATTATCACTTATTCCTTTTGTTCTTATATGTAGTGGTTATCTAGAAAAATAACTGCAAGACATCCTCTTGATCTCAGCTTAATGCTGTTTTAGCAACCTATTAATCTTATGTTAGGTCAAGTGGTATGGGGGTTGGAGATGGGTGACGCTAGTCATTTATTGTACCAAACAATAAAGGGGTAAATGATGGGCAGCAAAAGTCTTTGGTTCCTCTGTCTGATTGAACAAACCAATGACTTTGGAGTTTAGGGTTTAGGTGAATAATGAGCAGTGTGTTTGTTAGCAGGTTTATTAAACTAGATTAGAGAGAGAGAGAGAGAGAGAGAGAGAGAGAGAGAGAGAGAGCTGAAGTTCAAAATATCTAAAGCTCTAAGGTTAGGTAATTTGGGTCGGGTGCTCTTACCAATAGACCAAACTCACCATTAGACTCCCTTGTACACAACCAATATTTTCTTGCCAACAATTTGTTCCTGCTTTAGAGGCTTTTGCATCTTGTGTTTGTGCTATATGCATAAAACCAGTATTCATGAAGTATTCTCACATTTCTATTATGTTAAATGAAGTGATATACATGATCTTAAATGGAGAATACTCGCGGTAATGCGTTTGTCTACTCTGCTTCACTCTGAGTAACTAGACTCAATGATGAAGCTTGATAGTAGTACATATAAACTATGTATAGTCCTAAATAAGCTAAGGTCTTTTTCTAATCAATTGGACTCTAAAGTCTAAGGTCTAAATAGTTTATTGTGACCTTATTTAGTCACATTGACTTCTTACTTTTTGGATCTCTTTGAAGTGCCCTATCAACACCTCACTCTCTTCTTCTTTTTCTTCTTTTGATCCAACACCTAATTTTAAATATGCCTTGTGTAGTATAAAATCCTATATTTGCAAATAACCAGTTGTTTAGAGAATGAGCAATGTGACTCTGTTGCGTTTACAAGTCAGATTATGTCAGTCAATTGCAAGAAGGCAATTAGCAATTAAAATATGTCAATGTTTTTATTAATGTTATCGTCTTCGTATGTTCGTGCAACAGTCTATGAGTTAAAGAACCTCGTTTGTACATTTTACATTTGTGTGTGTGGTTGTGTTCAGAAGTTAGATTTTGTCATTGCAAACCAAAAAAAGAAAAAGAAAAAGAAAGAAGCAATTATCCAAATGAAAAATGTTAATGTGGTTTGTAATGCCGTCTTATGGTTCAGTCTGCAAGTTATTAAGCACCTGATTTTGAACCTTTTTGCAGTTGTGTGCCTGTATGTTGTACTAAATGCAGTTTCCTTCCCAGTATGATATGCCATTTCCTGTCAACTGTTTCTCATGTCCAAGGGAACTCAGACACTATCAAATCCCTTGCTGTTTGAAATGAATATACCTCATAATACTATGTGAAAGTTGTCTGAATTCATTGGAACTTCCACTAAGGACTTAATAGCTGACAGTTTCTTCCTGCAACTTGTTCATGTGGTCGAATGAAAATCCCAGTAAATGCATAAGATGAATTGTGGTTGGGGATGCACTTGTAGAAGATTAGCAAATTTCTAGATTCTGTAAAATAGCTTTGCATCGAATTTAAACGGAGAAGGATAATAGGCCATTGATGCATTTAGAAACCAGTCTGAAATAAGTAAAAGAGAAGCAGGATGGAGAAGACATTTAGCTTTGAAATTAGGTTTGCAGATATGGGAATTTGTGTGGATATCTTTGTTCTTGTTGTCGGTGGTCCTGCCCTGCCTTTTGCCTTTAAGTTGGTTAAAAGTTTGGCTACATCTCTTTCTTATCATAAGTCGCATGCAAAGAGATCATGAAAAATAAAGATTCTTCAAAAGTTTTGAGCCAACGAATCAGAGCCTGTTTGCATATTTTCTTCAACCCCTTTTTGCCTTTTGTCTTTAACATTTACGCGTGCCAATTCATACTGAGAGAGAAGTGAGAAACTTGGAAGAGTCAAGGTCAAAAATTTTAACTTCAAATCATATGACCAAGAGCTACTTATGTTTGTTTCTCAAGCCACATGGCAATCACCGCATAGTCAAAATGACAACTCCATGTATGATCCATCTATCTCACCAAACATTATGATGTCTTTGATGCCAAAGAGCGCAGACCAGTCCAAAGCTCATAGCCAGGTACAGAATCTTGTTGGTTGTAATTGATGTCGGTTTTAAATGCCAAAATCAATGTTAACAATGCATGGTTGTAGTTTTAATGCATGAAAAGAATGTATTGTGAAAAAACTGAGTAGTGGCACAGCAAAGCCAGAGCCAGAGCCATGAAATTTTCAACATCTAAATGCCTCACTAGGACTAGGAACAGGAGAGTAGGGTCCTCTCCAATTCTGCAAAAAAAGGTGGCTTCACATGTTCGCAATTATCATACATAAATGATTGTGTATCCACCAAAATTAATTCACAAATTGGATGAGGTTGGCTATTTGGTTATTTCCATTGATGAGCTTCTGATCAAAATAAATTCTAGACTAGCTCCATTTGTTGCAGCTCACCTCCACATATTCGTTGTGTTCGGATAGACACCTTGGAAGAAGTAAGCATCCACTTGCATGAAACGGGGATAACGTTGTTTTGTTATCTCCGACCAATAAAGCTATGACATGCCTGATAACTTTTCCACATGACATAGGCCGGAAATAGCAACTAAGTTTTTCTCCTCTAATGTTATCCCATTGCAATCAAGTTTTTCTCCTCTAATGGGCTAGAGAGACTCATCGTTTGCATCAGTTGATTAGCCAAATGATACAAGCAAAAGGGTAAATCAAAAGGTAAAATTCAAATTCAGGCATGGTAACTGTAAAACAGAACATAGGTGAGGTTGAGGTTGAGGTGATGATATAGAGAGCAAATAGTAGACAAGACAACGCACGTGAGAGAACAGAAGTGAAGAGTTGTTGAGTTGAGAACAGCTAGAAAGCTTGTTTCCATATCTTTTTGGAGAAATTGTCAAAAGCCTAGTACTCTCTTGTTTGTTTCAAGGTGCTGAACCTGAAATGGGAAAAGCCCTGTGAGTTTAAATCAGTATTTGGCCATCAGACCAAGAAAGTTAAATCAGTAGGAAATTTCAGAGACCCTTTCTTCTTCCTTTTCCTTTTGTTATTTTCGTTATTTTTTTCCTTTTTTTAAAAAAAACTATAATCTGTTAACCTTTTCTTTTCTTTTCTTTTCGGTATGTCCAAGACACAGTTGGAGTGCATGTTGGTTAGTGCTCTAAAGGCCCTTGTTTTGTTCTTTCTTTACCTTATTCTATTCTGTTTTGAAAGACTGGTCAAATTATCTCCTACAAAGATCAAAGACATTAAACTTCCCAAAGTTAATGAAACACTAGTATCATGTCCGTCGAGAGAGAAGAGCTTCTATGCAACGAGAATGTTACTGTAGCGGTATCTCAAGTCAACTGCATATTGCTATATTAAAAACATTAAAACACATGACATTATATGATTGGTTCGGAAAAAAAAACGAAGGTAGAGTTGTGTGTATCTTTGCATGATGTTGAAAAGAAGCTTACATACCCTTGGTCTCTTTTTTTGTTTATATATTCTTGATCTACCCAAAAAAAGAAAAAGAATAAAGAGAAGGTTAGTGCATCTGAACTACAGGGCCTTGAACTTGTCCACATCCTACCAAAAGTCCAGCATAAGAAATGAAATGACATTACATGCAACCAGGTAGCATAGTGAACTCCAATGCCTTATACATAAAATACACACACAAAGTTGAAGATGCCAGCATTTTACTTTCATCCATTTGGCAATGCTCACTGCTAGCCAAAAATGATAAACAAACAATATATAGCAGGTAGAAAGAAACTGCATAATTGGAGATTTTACACCATTGTGTTTTACAACAGTCACCAAAACTGCAGCTGTATTTTGAGTTTGGCTTTCCCAAAGAGATGAGTGGATGGGATGGTGCTTCCATGCATCATGCCTCTGCTTTTCTGATAAGCTTGTGCATTATTTTGGCCATGATCTAAGCATTGATGTGGCCAAATTGCAATCTGGAAATCCATTTCCTGTGGTCAAAGTTCAATCAATACCATACTTATCAAGTCACTTGATGAAGCTTTTCTCTTTCATTTCTACCACCTGCTAGAATCAATCCCAGTTTTCTACAAAACTACAAGCTTTTCCTCTTTAACGTTAAATGCTTGACATCTCTGCATGCTACAGGGCCTTGAATACAAAAGAACACAAAACCCTATAAAAATGAAGCCAGGGTTCCAAGGCACATGAGCTGCCAACTTTCAAAAGTTTGAAATACATCTAAAGCTTTAACTTGAAGTACATACTACCTACAATGTCTGCTTCTCTTCGCCAGAAAATTGATCATGAATGGCCAGCATTTTCTGCTACCACTCCACTGTTTCTCAAGATGATCCTAGACGACACTTCTAGAGACACAAACTTGTAAGTCCACCTCTTTCTTTTTAAGTATATACCTGTTTTCTGCATAATGAAAAATCTAGATTGCTTTATGGAAGTACCTACTTGACACATTTTTTTTTTTTTTTTTTTTTTTTTTAATTTGCAAAGAGAATACAGAAGAGTTTCGTGAAGAAGTATGAAAAACATCTATCAAATCCAGTACATTTGAAGCTTCCAAGTGGTTCAGAATGGGAAGTAGAAGTGACAACATGTGATGGTGAGGTTTGGCTTGACAAGGGTTGGCCAGAGTTCTCTTAAGTTTTACTCTCTAGAGTAGGATGGCTCCCTAGTTTTCAAATATGATGGGAACTCAAAATTCCAAGTTTGCATATTGGATGCAAGTGGCACAGAGATCGACTATCCCCTAGCGTTGCCCGTGATGGAAGAAACCAATGAGGATGATGAAAATAACTCTGTTGAAATCTTGGAGGATTATGATGATGAAAATGATAATTCTGCTGAAATTTTTGGGGATTATAAACCCTGCCCAAAAACAAGGCAGAAGTCTGTTCCATTGTCATGTCCTCTGCCTCGCAAGAAAACCAGATTAAGTACTCATTCTTCACCCGAAATATCATCATCTTCATCTAAGAGGGTTGTTGAAGCTGCCAACAAGTTCATCTCAAACCATTCCTTCAGAGTCACTGTGGGCTCATCCCTTACGCCGGTAAGGCTCATTGACAACATTTACACAACTACATTTTTTTTCAAATGGTAAATTTATGAACAGTTCTTTCAATATCTTGCTCTAAATCATCTCCGTTATATTATTCATCCATGTATATTTTAAAGTGACTAATATTGCTACACATGTATTTTATGCAGCATGTACCAGTTAGTTTCTCCAAGCATTTCATTAAATTGGAGGAACAAACCGCCAAGCTTCTGGTCAGAAAGAAATTGTGGTGTGTGAGTTTGATTGCTCATTCTGTTAACACATTTCCATTTTCTGTTGGCTGGGCCGCTTTTGCAAGGGAAAATTGTTTGAGAGCAGGAGATGTTTGCATCTTTGAGCTTGTCGACAAAAACGACATTTCACTGAAAGTTCACATGTTCAGATGCTGATTATTGGGGTGTTGTTTGTTGTAGTGATGGGTTTGTTTTGTTGGGGTTAAATTTGCAGGTCTTTGTTAGAACTGTTTGTCTGATACTTCTTTGTAAGTCCTTCTAGGCCTGGTTAAGTGCATCTGACATACCAAAAGTCCAGAAACAAACCAATGTTATAAACTGGCAATGCTTTCTGATGGCCAAATATTATACACAAACCAATATAGCAGGTAGCACAATTGCATCTTAGAAATTTTATTACAACAGTAACCAAAAATCGCCAAGTAAATTAATCTTAGTTACAAGGTTTGTCCTTTAGGAGGACTAGAAAGTCTTCTTGGCAGCCTGACTGGATTATGTCTGCATAGAAAGACAGACTATCTATATAAGTACTTTCCAGTACTAGATATACAATCAAACATTTGCTAAAATAAGAAATAAGAGGCTGAAGGAGCCTGGCTTATCGTGCCTTGCTTGAGATGTTGCTGGATAGCCAATCAAGCCCCTCATAAAGTCCTTGGCCAGAGGTGGCACAAGCAGCCTGAATGTACCTGCACATATTAAAATCCAGAAGCCATAAGAACAGTATTTTAACTCAGCAGAAATTATAAAATCGAGAACCGTTTAAGAGTAATTTGCTCTTTTTCAGACTGTAAATCAAGACCGTTGATTAGGTGGATCACATTTGAACGTTCAATCCTCAATCTTGTTTTAAGTCTAACCACATAACATGTCCCACTATCTAACAAGACAACATTCCTTATCATGTAGTTCTCATAAACAATTGATTGAGGATTATTAGAATAGTATGTATGTGGCATGGTTTGGTGTTTACCAGCGGCGTTGGCGGAGTGAATGCAGGCCAAGCTTATCAGTGATCTCAGAAACACTCATGGAATTTGGAAGATCTTGCTTGTTGGCAAACACAAGCAGTGTCGCTTCACGGAGTTCATCCTGCAGCAACAAAGAAGAACATTTGTATTCTGCAAAATTGTTCTGATGATAATTTGTAGAAGAAACTGTAAGGAACTGACCTCACTAAGCATTCGGTGGAGCTCATCTCTGGCTTCTGAAACCCTGTCTCTATCATTGCTATCCACTACAAAGATAAGACCCTGAGTGTTCTGAAAATAGTGTCTCCATAGTGGCCGAATCTACACATAGCACATGATAATCAAGATCAAGTTCCCATTAAGCTTAAGTAACCCCCACAAACTTTGTTAAGTTTTCAGTGTTTAATTAAAAAGAAACTAAGATAGAACTAGTTTAGAGAATCAAAGTTAGTACCTTGTCTTGTCCTCCTACATCCCAGACAGTGAAGCTTACATTTTTGTATTCAACAGTTTCCACATTGAACCCTGGTCACAGAAGAAAAATCAATCAAAAGTTCAAAGCAGAATTGCTTAATTCCAATTTGAATAGGTACATATCAAGTTCAAGAAAAAAGATGAAGCAAAAATTCGGGGTAATCGATTCGAAGTAGATACCAATTGTGGGAATGGTTGTGACAACCTCTCCAAGTTTGAGCTTGTAGAGGATGGTGGTTTTTCCAGCAGCATCAAGACCCACCATTAGTATTCTCATTTCTTTCCTTGCAAAGAGCATCTTCACCATCCTAGATATTGCCATACCCATTGCTGCTAACTGGTTCAATCAAAAGGGCAGTTGAACAATAGAGGATCAATAAAAGAAAAAGAAAAACCCTTTAATCAATACACGAGGAAGAAATTGGAGGGTTGAATTACCAGAGCAGAAAATCAGAGGAGAAAGAAAAGGTGTGGTGATTCAAGAGATGATAAGTAGAGGGAAGCAAAAGGAATATATATTTTGCTTGTGTTATATAACAAATAATGAAATGTATGTATGGCAAGTGGCAGAAAAGGAAAGAAAGGTTCAAGAGAATTGGATTCTGATGAAGATCAGAGAAGAATAAAGAACAATTGCTTTAACTTGTTTGACAAGAATTTCATGCCACAGCCCACAGCTGTGTTGGGATGGGAATGGCTGTGATATCTATAGGTTGCAAGTAGGCGGGAAAAAAATAATGTAAGTAGGATAGAACCTGCTCACCAAATATCCACCGTTTAGGATTATACCTAGCGGAATAATCTGAGGATGGAAGATTGCTTTGCCTCCTTATATAGGAGTAAAAGTAATTATATAGAGGTGAACAAGAAAGAACAACTTAAGTGGGGAACACATGGCGTGTTTTAATTGGAGGATACTTGTCATTCAACCTATCACCTGACTTGACCTGTGTATTGAGGGAGAAAAACTAGAGAAGACTTGATAGGTTTTAATTGGACGGTACGTGTCACTCAACCTGGCACGTGACTTGACTTGTTTGTCGTGAAAGACAAACTTAAGTAGATAACACATGACATATTTAATCGGACAATACATGTCACTCAACCTGTTACGTGACAAGAAAGTCCTCACTAAAGATTTTCTATGTCATTATCCACCTCATATATGACACCCAAGAATCTCTCCGTGATGATAGGTAATGGGGTATTGGGGTGGTGTGCTAGAGTTCATGTACTCCACAAATCTCAACGCATTTTCACGTTTTAAATAATTACCATAAACGCTAATGCATCAATATTGAACAATTACATAACAGTTATTGGAAGATTGTATTTGATCCAAAATTTATGACATAAAAGTATTAATACGTGTTTCTATGCAATAAGCTTCCAAGCAGAGTAGCAAGTTTCTACCAGCCTAAAAGCCTAAAACTAATGCAATGTGGGAAAATGAAAACCATATAATCGAGCCACAGAAAAGCCTATCCAAACAAGAACATCATACATGCATGTATATCATAACATGCCTATCCAAATGAAATATTTGCATTTCTTTCTGCAAATGGCAAATAAAAACTTAACAAAACAAACTACTTTTACATTTTTTTCCAATAAATGCTCGTAGGCAATGCTCATGACAAGGTCCGAAAAGTAATGTTGCTATTCGTGTTTGGAGATAGCATCCTTGGCGGACTGAAGGGTAGTTGCCACAGCAGCGGCAGCACCGGTCAAGACACCGCCGCTGGTATTTGTTTTCGCAGAGGGATGTGGCTGGTGAACCACTTGCACATTTCTCTGTTCATGGCCTTGCTGCCCCGCCGATGACCGGACGTCTACTGTGTTCACCTTTGTCTCTTTGGGACTTTCTGCATTTGTGTCCTTCATTTCCTGTATGAATTTCACAAAGTTTGATATACAAAACAAAAACGAAGGAATACAATGAAGAAGAAAAAAAACGTGAAACTAGAGATGGAGATTGGGGAAGATACCTTGATGGCTTGTGCATTCATTTTGAAGGTGATCAAATAACTCAAAAAACTTCTTTCGGGGAGATGAATTATTTAAAATTTATCTCTCGTAGTTTTTGGTGTTGTTTTACATAGTCTTTCAAAGGAGATTATTTAGCCGAAGGAGCAGGACCCTTGGCATCCACAAGTTAACCATTTTTAGATCTTAGAACCATTTTGTTCTTTCTTTTACTAGATAAATCGAAGGGCTCTTATGTACCCCAAAAAAAATGCTTTTCTTTTAGCACAAAAAAAAAAAAAAAAAACAAAAAAAAAAAAACAATTGTAAAATTAGAACGACGGCTAAAACAACTAGCACAAAATCCCTGCAGCTGAAATGAAAATAATTTCATTCATATACCTTCTAGCTTACAACACAAAAAGCATGAGCCTGCTCTCAGTCCAACAAGGCATGAATAATATCCCATGTCCCTACCATTAATTGTTGAACTACATTTTGACACATATATTAAAATAAAAAAAAAAAAAAAAAAAAAAAAAAAAAAAAAAAAATATATAGGAAATATAGTAAGTTCAATGAAGAAGGACAATGGTTTTAGAGAAAGATGGAACTGAGAGAATGCATCAGTAAGTCATAAGGGGTGACCCACTACAATGGACATCAGAAGCATCAGAAATCCTTTGCTTGGGAGATAATGTTGTGATGGCAGCAGCATCAACATCAAGATTGAGATAAGTTTTCCTCTTTTGAGTCTCTGAGCTAACCTTCTCCTCGGAAAGCTCTGCAATCGGACTCAACAGGTCTGCTTCCTTTGAGGGGCGGGATAACATGGCTTGAGCATCTGCTACCACCGATGCATCATCTTCAGTAGCATAAAGAATCTTCTGTATAGCAGCAACAACCTGCATAAAGAATTGAAACGGTAAATTGGCATTTGTTCTTTTTGTAGTCGTCATTTTGAAAACAAAGAGTGAAAATACAGTACATTTAAGTGCTCAATCTCAGGATTCTGGCAAAGTATCTCAATATCCCGGAGCTTTGCGAAGTAGAAATCCCTCTCCTTTTCAAGGCTATCGACTGAAAGTTTCAACTCCGTGATCTGCATTGAAACAAGTATTAGACTACTCTAAATTCATTAACAGAATTCTCACTCCTGCACCACTGACTAAAAGTACCTGTTCGTCATATACAGGGGGAGCAGGGCCTCCACTAGAAGCAGGTCTCGAGGTCTTCCCGGATTGACTTGTAGAGTTCACAGAAGGTGGTACATCATTTCTTCGAGCAGTGTGGGAGGAGTGAGATCTTTGGGAAGCTGCTGCACCCTTGGCTGATGTTTGTGATTGGGCACCTCTTTTATGTGCTTCTTTCCCACCTTTGCAAGCATCTCTCCTTTCTAGAGCATTGTAACTGACAATGATAATAAAGTATATATATCAGAGAATACAAATTAACATTTATTATAATTGACAAGTGCACACTTGAGCCTAATTATTTCACCCATTCTATTTTGAACATCATCTACATAGAAGCTCATATTGCACAAAACTCATAAGATTTATTACAAAAAGATCCGACTTTAACCCATCAATGGTGACCGGACAACATCATGTTGTGCACAATGGAGTAAATAAAACTCCATGGCACTACCAAACAACAGCGATGTGCTTGCAAACACAAGTCAAACGAGTGAGCATAACTATAAAAGACTTGTGAATTTTGATTCCAACAGAGGCAGCGAATTGGATCAAAAGGGAAGTTCGACAAGAATTCGCATTGTGCATCTCAGCATGGAAGAACCCAAATCGATTTAAAAATTATTCAGCAAGCCTAAAGATAACTACAAAGAGTTGGTAATTCAAATCATACCAAAATGTCATTTTAAGTCCACATATAATAGGAAAAGGAAAACATGAGAAATTCAGTTAGTAAATGAAGGATCAACAAAAACAGAATTAGGGGTAGAACTTACGTGTTCATGCTGCCTCCATTGACGGAATCACAGTATCGCTTCATCCATTGCATGAACTCCAAATTATCCAGCGGCCTTCCTTTCACAAGCTTGCTCACCTCAATGTGCTAAAAACCCCAAACACAAACACACAGAGCAAGACCCAAAAAAATGTAAAGAGACAGAAATTATTTAATTAAGTTTTATAACAGAAGTTAGAGAAAACTTGCAGATCCACATAACATCCGATTAAATTTAAAAAGGAAATGCAATTAATCACAGTTAGAGATAGACCTTGGTGATTTTGAGTTTGTTAAAGACGTCCTGAAGGACCTTGTAGTTCTGAATCATCTCATACTCGCTCTTGGCATCAAAGTTCACCTTGTGCATCGGCACCATACCGTTATGAACCGCATCCATGAGCTGGCATTGAACCGCACCGGAACACGCCTGAGAAGCACAGATCGGAAAAAAATCGAATAAGAAAACAGTAATTCGAAAAGTAAAGGTTAGGGTTAGGGTTCGGAGGAAAAAACCTCTTCGACTTTGTTGAGATTGAGATGCAGAGTGGAGTTGATCCACGCCAAGATCTCAGATCTGCCTACGAAGTAAGCCCCATCCATCATTCCGATATTCGTTGCCATTTTCGGATTATCTGCGTGTGCGTCTGAGATTTCGGCGATTTCTCTGTCTTAAGCCCTCTGCGTCTCTGAAGAGGAAGAGACGAAGACTACAATGTCTGAATGTGAGGCGGAGAGAGAGAGAGGGGGTGGAATTTAAAAATGGGTGGGATTTTGAGGGGAGCGGGATATTTTTAAATTCAAAAGTTGGTGTCGGACCAAACCGCTTTTTCTGGAGACTGGATATTTGGGCTTTTCTACAATGGAAGTCCAGCCCAATATTCAGGATATCCTACCAATTAAGGCTCGTTTGATTCGCGAAATGAAATTCTCATGTTTAGTCCTATAAAATATGAACGAAATATTTTAATTCCCTTTTTTGGGAACGTTTGGAAAAATGCATAATGAGATACTCTTTTTTCCCATTCATATTAAAAAAAATTACAATGCCGTTACATTTTTATTTTAAATTATTAATATTAGAATGGCCAAAAGTGGTATTTGAAATTTAGAACATGGGTACCAAAAAAGTGCACTGAAATTCTCTCATACTTAGAGCATCCACAATGGGCTCCCTAAACCACCTCCTTAGACAAATTTTATGGAGGAATTGTAAAAATGCAACTCCAACCATGCTCCCTATACACCTCCTAAAATAGGGAGTCCTCTAGGAGCTCCTAAATCTGATGTCCTAAATTTGATGTGAGAGAAAGGATTCCTAGTGGCTCCCTATCATTTAATGAGTATTTCAAACCTTTATTTAATGCTAACTATTTTTTATTTTATTTTTTAATAGAGATTGACCAATCAAAAAAAAGTTATAGCATTTATGACTCCAAATTAGGGAGTATGGTTGGAGTTGAAATTTTTTAGAGATCTCCTAAAATGATTTTCTTATATTTTTAGCTAAAAAATAGAGAGCACCATTGTGGATGCCCTTAGAGCATCCACAATGGGCTCCCTAAACCACCTCCTTAGACAAATTTTAAGGAGGAATCGTAAAAATGCAACTCCAACCACGCTCCCTATTCACCTCCTAAAATAGGGAGTTCTCTAGGAGCTCCTAAATCTGAGGAGAGAGAAAGGACCCCTAGTGGCTCCCTATAATTTAATGCTGCTTTATTTAATAAGTATTTCAAACCTCTATTTAATGCTAACTTTTTTTTATTTTATTTTTTAATAGAGATTGACCAATCAAAAAAGAGTTATAGCATTTATGACTCTCCAAATTAGGGAGTGTGGTTGAAGTTGAAATTTTTTAGAGAGCTCCTAAAATAACTTTCTTATATTCTTAGCCAAATTTTAACTAAGAAATAGAGAGCATCATTGTGGATGTTCTTACCAAACATGAGAATATAATCTCATACTCACTCTCAAGTTTCTAAATCTTTAACCACACGAGTCCTAATCATTCTTCGCCGTTATGAGATAAAATCAACCATCAATGAAAATGAAGCACGAAGACATACATCTGTGTAATATGGTTGTCGTTGATAGCTCATACGCAAGCCACCATCAATTAAGGAAGTATTTCATCAACATCAACATACCTAATCAATTAACCCAACAAACTTAATGTGCAGTCTCTGTTGACTATGGAACATTATTATTAGCCAATCAACATTTGAACCAGCTACAAGGACCAGTCTCCAAAGAAAAAAAAACAGATGGATTCATGCTGAAAAAAGAAAAAAAAATTGGGAAGGATGAACCAACTATCAGTCAATCATACATAGATACAGCTCTCTCTACAAATTAAAAGGGTACAAAACATGTCATTAGTGGCCATAATAATATGATGATGACGATGACGATGATGAAGATGGGAATTTCTCAAGGACTTGCAGGGCTTCTTTCATTGCTGGTCTCTTTTGTGGGACAGGTGAGGCACAATTATACCCTAACTTGAAGCAGGCCAACAAGGCCTCCTCTTTGCCCTCCAACTCAGCCCTAATTGCCATATCTGCCATCCTGAAAGCCCTGCTTGTGTCATCAACTGCAAGCCCAAGGCCCTGCCCTGTCTCATCCATAATCACAACTTTCCCTGTTAGTAGCTCAAGCAATATCACCCCAAATGAGTACGCATCCCACTTTGGGTTGGGCTTTAGGCTCCGAAGCGACTCTGGTGCATGGTAAGGCGATGTGCCCATGGAACTAGGGCTCGGACTTGGGCCCGGACTAGGCCCAAGCCCAAAATCTTGAAAGCTATCGCGCGAGGTGGTTGATCTCTTGCTTCCGAAATTTCGGATTGAGCTTCCAATTTTGTAGCTAGTGTCGCCCGACAAAAGTCTCTCGAGTCCAAAATCGCCAATTTTGGGCTCCATGTCATTGTCCAAGAGAATGTTGGTGGGCTTGAGGTTTCCGTGGACGTGCTTCTTCTCGTGGAGGTACGCAAGCCCACGGGCTACGCCTTTCGCTATCCTGAGCCTAGCTTCCCATGGTAGATGACAAGGCGAGGAGCCGACTTTCCCTGAAAATTTCACATCCTAAAATGAGTCTCAAAATTCTAATTTTGGTAAAGGAATGACATCAGACTTTTCAATCATGGCGCAAGTTGAAAATCTAAGTCACACACACTCACTCACTCACTGTCACGTATTGGACAAAGACAAAACCAGAGAAAGTGACCCAAGCAATAAAAACATTTGGCACATTATGTGTCCTAAATTATTGATTTGGTCATCGCTATCAGAAGACCTATGGGGTAAGAAATGGCAAAAACTCCACCGCTGATGGTTGACTTCTCTTGCATTGAAAAACAAAGCTTTTAGGTGCACCCACTCCACCGTCAGGGTCTCCCCTGGCGCACTTTAGTAAAGATCAATACTGTTCCACTAACATGCGCATACACAAACAGACAGAGAGCAACGTAGAGAGAGAAACAGGGTGAGAGACAGAGAACTCACTGTAACGGGCGTTTGCGAGGCTGCCATTTGGAACGAAGTCATAGATGATGAGCTTCTCTTCCACCCCCCAATAGAACCCACGAATTCGAACCAGATTTTGGTGGACTAACTTGGCCACCAGCTTCACTTGGTTCTCAAAATCCTTGAACCGGTCCACACTGTGCTCGCCGATTCTGCGAACCGCTAGGGAACTGCCATCTTCAAGAACCGCCTTGTACATTATGCTTGAACCAGTGGCTCCAAGGATGTAAGCTGAGGCTTTGAGTAGTGTCTCGAGCTCAAGCGCCTTTTCACCGTCAACAGTCACCAAGGTCCCGCCTTTGCTCTGTTCCTGTTCTTGTTGGCGTTTGATTTCTTGACCCTTTTGCGCATTTTGGTCCGTTTGATGATCTTCAGGGTCGGAGGCGGTGGTATCTGAGCTCTCTTCTTCTTCGGTTCTCTTTCTCAAGCAAGACCATCTTGTGAACCCTTTTGATTCTGATGAGGAAGAAGACCAATCATTGACTGGTGGTGTAGAATTGGAATTTGCTTCTTTCTTGAGCGTTGTGGTGATATCAGATTTGTTGCTCTTCTTCTTTCTCTTCAATCTGTATATGTACAAGAAAATCAAAGCAAGAAGTGCAATCCCTGCTATATCACCAGCTATGATCCCAACAATGGCTGCTGGTCTAAGCCCGCTTTGGCTCTCTCGTGAACGCCCTTTCTCTGATCTTGGTGAAATGGCTTCTGGGTTCGATGAATTCAAAGTCCTGGGAATTGCAGCAAATGCTGGAGGAGAATTTGGTGAAGAAACATTGGGTGAAGAAGAGGGTGAAGATTGAATAGGACATGGGTTCTTGGTTGGCTGGCCACACAGATCAGGGTTTCCAAGAAAAGACTCTGTTTCTTGGTTCAAGAAAACCTGAGATTCCGGAACTTCGCCACTGAGATTGTTGAATGAGAGGTCGGTTTTGGCATTACCTGGAATTATCTCGGAAAACAGCGGTGGGATTTTCCCGGAAAGTCCGTTGTGGGAGACGTTAAAGTAACTCAGACTGTTGCCGCCGAAATCAGAAGGCAGAGAGCCGTTGATCAGATTGGAAGACAGATCTAAAACCTGTACGGACTTGAACCCGCTTGGAAGACCACCAGAGAAGTAATTGTTCTTCAAAGAAACGATCGTTAGGCTGCGGAGAGAAGTGAGATTGGTGGGTAAGTTTCCCGCCAAGGCATTGTCGGAGAGGTTGAGGAGCTGGAGCTTGGTGAGCTGTGATATGGTGTCTGGCAGCTCACCGGAGATGAGATTGTACGACAAGTCAAGAACTCGAAGCTCCGTGGCGTTGAATATGGAGATTGGCAGAGACCCATTGAGAGAATTGTTGGAAAGATTGAGACTTTGAAGGTGCTGGATCATGCCAAGATTGGATGGGATTGAACCCAGAAGCTGAGAGTTGGGCAGAGCCAGGCCTATGACTCTTTGGCACGTATCAGACGACACTCCTCCGCAAACGACACCTCTCCATGAACATGGCGTGTCGTCGTGCGAATTCCAGGTCTCAAGAACACGTTGAGGGTCTTGAAGAATGGAAAATTTGAAGGAAAGTAGAAGAAGGCCATCTGTGTCAAGCCCAAAAGATTGCACTGAAAGAAGAAGAAGAAGAAGACATGTCCACAAATGGAGACTGGCGCAGTATCTTTGGGTGCTCATAATTTTTCTGCACAGTGATCCCACATCTCTGTTTCTCTCTCTCCTCTCTATATTGAAAAACACAAACAGGTAGAGAGAGAAAGACAAGTGAGATTTATGATTATGATGGTTTGGGAGAAAAAACTGAGGCCATGTGATGCGGGATTTGTTAAAAGGAAAATATGATGGGAAAAGTTGTGTTGGGATAAACAGCTCACAGGACCAAACCTTGGCACCAATATGCTCACACAGCTTATCTGCAGCAGCAGCAGATATAAAAATTAAGGCTTTCTGAAATGATTAAATGCACTCACCGTCGTTCGCCTCTCTCTCTCTCTCTCTCTCTCTCTCTCTCTCTGCCTTTGCTCACATTTAAGAAACAAGAAAAAGAAAAAAAAAGTAGGACGCGAATAGCATCTTTGCTACATGACATGTAGGTTGGGTTAGGGAGTTTCAGAAACTCTTTCTGATTATTTAGATTGACTTTACAAAAACCATCTGCTTTATTTTATTTTAATCTGAGTTTCCCATTATTATATTACTGCCACTGCCAGTTTAACGCTCGAGTAAAATAGGCTAATGGCCTAAATCTCCTGCAAGCCAGATGGCATATGCTACCTAAATGTGTAACATCTCAATCCCATTTCCATCTTCAACGTAGAGATTATTGTGTTGGCCCGATACATTGAGCCGGACTCTGAAATATAACGTACGAGATTCACCCATAGACAATTGTTCTCTATGAAAATTCGTCGGCATGTTACGTGTGCTCGTACTGATCAATAATTTTCTCAATATTCAGTGTAGTGATAATAATGTCATCCCACCACAAGTCCAGAATATCATTATTGGATTTGAAAAGTTTTGGTGTCATCTCTAGTGCCCTACTGTTCAACTTTGAATGGCAGGATCCTGTGTGTTCGGTATTGGTCTCATCTAAGATGCCTACTGTTCAATTTTGGATGCAGGTACCGACTATCAAGATGCAAGAAGAACATTATCGAAGGTAATAATAAATCAAACGACCCACGTTTATTCACAAGCTACAATTAATTTTTAGGTTATCAAGGGATATTATTGATCAGAGCAAAAATACCCATCAAGGCGTCTGGGGACCAAAGCTTTGAAATCAGCAATTGATCACAGTGGAAAAGATCAATCTGCTATCATTTCTGGTAGCTCCACTTTGTCCAAATTTTTATGGCGGACAGGCTCTCTAGCCGGACCACCATATCTCTTTTTTGGAACTTTTAAGAAATGCCAAAGCAAGATGCACATTTTACATTAAATTTCTTTTGTCACCAAGTCTTGCTTAGCTCTCTGGGTTTGGTCCTCCACTGCACCGGTGCATGCAGCTCCTTGAGTCAAGAATTGATCTAAAAGCTAAAAGCTAAAAGCTTTAAGACCATGGGGATGCATGCTTTATCTCATGATCATCCATCGCCATCTAATCTTTTTCTCCTTTCTTACTTTCTTTAATTATGCGAGGACAGCTTCATTTACTGACCACTTTGGCTCTTTATAGAAAAAATTAACCAATAACAAAAGAGTAGGTGATCCGTAACATATTAATTAATCCAAGGTTGAAAAGTCTAGTGCTTGTGTTCAGATTAGGGTATAATTTTCCTGTCTACTGTCAAGAAAAGCTGCTTTTACTCCTAAACTTTAAGATAAATGTTTTCTAAAGAATAAAATGGGCTTGAAAAGCTCCAAAGCATTTATCTTTTTTTTCTTTCTTTATGTTAAAAAGCAGGTAACAGATGATAGAGAGTGAGAGAGGAGAGATGTTTTTTACTGTTGAAGGTGGAGGTAGGGCCATGGTTGTTTTTGGAAGATGACCAAAGGAAATAACTTTTCAAAAGGTCAATCTGGATCAACCAAAGCTAATACAATGGCATAGACAACGAATGCTAAAACTCACCAGGGTTAAGAATCTTCTCGAGCCTTTTGGAAAAACATCTCTATTATATATGTCAAATATTGCTACTTCAATAACTAAGCAAAATAGATTTCAAAGACCTTCCAATGGTGATCGCATGTATGTCTAGTTGATTGAGTTCTAGTCATACGCATGGTCATGTTATAGTACAATACATACACATGGTCATGTTATAGTACAATACAATAATTTATTCCATCGAGTAAGTTTAGGAAATTTTTCTTTCTCTTATACATGATTTGCTCACTTTCTAAATAAAAAGTAATTGGAGCATAACAAACGAAAAAAAGAGAGTAATTGGGACACTATCATGTGTCACATGTAGACGTTAGGTTTCAAGAGTAATATTGCCACGTGCACTGCATTTATTAATCATATGGTTGATTATATCTCTCTTTCTCAAGCAAGATTCGTTCTTTCAAGTTTGTTTTATGTAATCAGAATGAGACTCGCTCATTGTTTTAAGTTGAACACTAGTATATAAGTTGTTGCTTTATGACATGTCATGACTCAAAAATGTTAAATGTATTGATGGAACTCATGATGACCTCTTATAAAAACACAAATAAGAGCTTGTAACCACTCAAGTATGAATTTGTAAATGCAATAACAACCTAAAATTTGCAAAATATCCTTCAACTTAGGGGAAAAAAAAATTAAAGAGATGTTAATTTGTCAGTAAATTCCTAATTATAACTAGCATCCTCCTCTTTATCTGACTCACAAGAGTAATCATCACATTGTTGTTGAGCCAATTCAATCATTTCATGCTTTGGCATATGGAGGGTCTATTTATACGAAAAGGGGTTAGAGAATAAGACTTCTTTCAAAGTATCAACATACATAATTTTTCATAGGTTTTGCCATCTTGAAGTCGGGTCGGGGCAAACATTACTCATCATGTATATATGAAAGCAATTAATTTCTCACCTCTAAGGTAAAGAGTAAGTGACACCTTGGACTGTCCATATATGAAGATAAGACAAGACCATAGCTGAACTTACTTGAAGTGAACGAAGCAAGCATTCTACTTTGGTTTCTTCCCCCCAATGAACGGATCGTGTTCCTCACTTCTACTTCTCTGCATGTCACGCGATTGTGACATCTCTTAAGGTTTTCATTTTCTACTTTAACCAAAACAAACAAAAAAATATTATGTGGATTAAGTTGGTTGGTAAGGGCAGTGAGCACGCACCATGCACTCAAGTTCTGATTTTCCTCTCTGTAAATTAGACTAAGTTAAAGTAATTTATCGCTTATATTATATTTGAAAAAAAACAAAAAAAAGTCTGAACTATTTCTAGGTGGTTGAGTTCTTGATCATCGAGCACAACAACCGGGTGAGGAAAACCCATAAATTCCATCAGTACAGTAGAAGCTGATTTCAGACCGGAGTTACTGCTATAGATTTGAAGGTTGAATATATGTAATAAAGTAATAGAATATTTGTTCCAATAGTCTTAGAGGTTAAGAAAGAAGTATCCTATGAACCACATTTTCTTAATTATAGGTGATGATGAGGGTAATTTTATATATTTGCATGGGTTCTAAAATGTCAATTCCCCCATGTCAGCTGTAACTTTGTTTAATTGGTCAAACTTTGGGGGAATAAAGAGGTTAATTATGTTTCAATTAGCCCCTTCCAATAGAGAAAGAATTATAGACCTCTCTCTCTATATCATGTCACCAAAAAAAATGATATGCAAATCATCAAAAGAGTCAAAAATTTACTTTACCAAGTTTGGTGAAAAAGAAAAAAAACAGTTGATTTTTTTTAATGTACTGTGCAACTGATTGAGGGACAGATAAATCACAAACAAAGTTCGAGAGAGAGAGGACAATTATAAAGTAGAAATATCCAAGACTTTCTAGTAAACATGGGCACATTTGGGCCATAACCATAAGTATGGCGCTGGGATTCTCAAGTGATCTGTAGGGCAGTCGGCAGTGGATTTTGGCTTTGTCCCTGTGGCTTCTTTGCTTAATAAGCATCTCTAAAGTAAGGGCCTAAAGGATAGGCAAACCCTATTTGCCTTGTCATATCAGTATTTACTCTTATTATTATTACTTCAAAGTGAATATGCCAATAAGAGTTGGTTCAATTGGTAAAGATTGTTCTGTTCGCGCTATACAGGTCTAGGTTCGAGTTTCACTGCCGACAATCTCTCTTTATGAGTAATTTGTTAGAACTAAAAAATGGGCTAAGACCCCTTGTGTAAGTCCTCAAAGAGGGATGGCTGTTACTCATTACTTCAGTAAATTTGACCAAACATCACTTTATCCTATTCAAAATGATGCTTAGCGCAGCATTAAACCCTAAAATAAAAATAAAAATAAAACTAAGCACATACATAGCTCCAAATATAATTAATAACCCACTTGGATCCCATTGAAAAGCTAATCTAAGCTGTAAGAGCACGTGCTATATCACTTGCTATTTACGCCGTTTAATTTAATTTAAGTATATATAATTTGTAAATGAGACCAGAATCAGAAGAGAATGAACACATTGAATTGAATTAATATGAAATTAGTTGGTCAAGCTTCGGTAAATGAAGTCGACCCCGTGAGCACAAAGCCACAGAGTTAACAACTCATCCCATCAACTTAGATTAGTACGCTAATAAAATACAAATTGGGTCTAAAATTTTATAATGTAACTTGTGAGCAACAACATGGTTTTTGCTTGCTTTATCTCCTATCATTTTTGTCTTAATTTGTGTCCACACATTGGGGATCAGCAAACATTTGGCACAGATTTATGGGAAAAATCTTCATCACAATTAATGCACCTAATAATAATAATAATATTGTATTTTATTATTGGTGAACAAAATTCCTATCCGTAGGGAATAAAGTCATGATGAGAATGATATGATGCGAGCTAGCATTAGTTTTTCATATAACTAAAATTCTATTATTCCCGCTAGTGTAACGGTTTATAGTAATTGCTTTCTTAGACAAGATTTTAAGTTCATATCATAGCATCCATATAATATGTGTAAATTTAATATATTATCGTCTATCTCAATAGAATAGATTATAAAAACACATATATAGGTATATTATTCCCTAAGCAATATATATGTTTTGGAGCAAGAGAGATTGTACTAAAAAGTATTAAATTGAGGCATTGTTGTTAAGCTAAGCTGTTAAACAACGGCTTCTTTCTTTACTGCTTTTTATTAATTCCTTTGGCATGTGGGTTCCCTCAAATTATTAACTCTCACAACAAAAAGGACGCCCAGCTCGTGTGTATCACTTACACATTTGCTCACCAAATTTGGTGTCTAGTGGTATGGACACAACTTTAGCTGTTAGTGAGGAGGACTCTTTATAGTAGGAAGTTGGAACAATGAACAATCCCTCTATTGGTCTTGTAAGTTCGATGTATATTGTTTGGTTTTTTTAAGATTGGTAATTGTCTAACATCATATCAGACTCTTCTTTGCACGTGACCGTAAATTTGATTTGTTTGCATGGTACATAATAGGGTTGCAGCTAAATGTTTGTCCTTCTCCTCCCATCCGTGGACCTCTTCACATGCATATGAAAGAGTGTAAACTTTTTTTGTTTTTTTGTTTTTGGAGCCAAACGAGAGAGAGTGTCAACTCGATATGCATAATGCATTCATTTCCAACAGTTATAGCATTCGTTTCTCATTTAAGAAGAAGTATAACTTCAAAATTGGACTAATATACACAAAGGTATTGTTAAGCTTATCGTATTTATATGTCAGATTGTGTATCACCTATTAGAGAAATGATGCACAATATGATATGAAACTATGATAAATCTAACATTTTCCGACAACATATTATCATTCAGTAGAGTGTCTCTGGCAACAATAAGCGACTCAGTGGTTTGGGGTTAAAAGCTTTGCATATTTCCACGTGCGCAAGTACTAGCCTCTTAACGTGTATGCAGGGATTCTTAACAACAAGAATAATGGGCTTACAATTCTGACCCAAACACGAGGCCTTGAAGGCCAATGCTTGATTTTTGCATTCTCAATAACAGGATAAGGCAGGGCTACAAGAACTTTCAGGTAAACAAATGCTATATAATAGGGGATGCTACAAGGTATTTCAAGCCAATCGTGTATTGTAATATAAAAAAATTAAAACACAACAATAATGTGTGATTATTTGCAATGACGGATCTAATATTTTAAAATGGATTAGGCTGGATTTACCTTACAAAGAAATTCAGCGGCATGAGCGACTTTTATTAATAACAAAAATAATACACCTAGGTAGGGAGGACATAACGAGTCATACCCCTCAAAAGACATCTAATACATAAGATAGAAGCTAGTAAAAAATAAATTAATAAAACATGCAATGCAAATACAAAATAAAACTATTTGAGTTTCACCCTTCAAATCTTTAAAGAATTAAAACAAGGGGAATGCTAGCAACCTTCTCTACAGTGGCGGAGCCAAGAATTGAAACACAAGGGGTCTTAGTGTAAAAGTCCCAAAAAAAAATTTAGGATGGAATCAACATATATATTCTACATATGCAAAAAAATGAAAATAAAAACTCACATTGTTACTGGAAATTAGTGCGATAAACATCTCTAAGAATCTCATACTTCATTTACGCACTAAACACATAAACTTGAGACATCATTTTATTCGAGATCACATAGAAAAGGGAGGGAGCAGAGAGGAGAGAGGAGATTATGTAGTTATCCTAAATTCCTTAATTAAACTACTGCCTAAGTTTTAAATTTTTTTTAAAAAAAATTAGAATGGCATGCACAAGCTGATGCGTAAGAGTGGCAAAAGTTGCAGCTTCAAATGGATATTAAAAATGTAAACTTTGTTATTACTGGGGCAAGAATGCTTTGTGATGGTCTAGAGGCCAATAGATAGCAATTTGCCATTTTGCTTTGACTTCAATTATAGTGTCTCACAGGCTGAAGAGCAAAGTATTCTGTGTGGCCAAGAATATGTAAAATACATTTGAACTTTGGCTCAAGGACAGATTCCGTCAAGTTGTGTTTTGGAGAAGCAGTGGCTAGAGAGGATACGCTGGTCTTTTTTTATTTTTTCAAACCTGGCCCAAAACGACGTTGTTTTGGCCAGGTCGTTTAAAAAAAAAAAACTTGCACGCGCTAGCCTTCTTCTTTAGCTTGCAACCCATCGTTCTTTCAGACATTTCGTCAACCACTTGGTGTGCAGCTCCAAGAGGTCACACCAGCAGCTCCAATGGCCTCTAAGCCTATTTCCATGGCTTCCAAGAGGTCGTGACTCGTGCGACCCCAATGACCCCACTATGGCTCCACCACTGCTTCTCTCTAACCTTCTCCTTTGAACTTTCTCTATTTTTTGTTTGACATGTGTCATTCTCCTTACACTTAAAACAATATCATTAATATATTATACAAGTTAACTTTTGCTTTCCAAGTTTACCCTTATTAAATGTATTCAATTTATCCAAAAAAAATTCACAACTTTCTTACCATTTTTTTTAAAACGTCAATTATTTTTTTATAAAGAAAATGTATGATTTTTTTTCTAAAAAAAGGAAATGTCCGTTTTTTTTTAAACACAAAGCACTTTTTTTTTCCTATCTAAACCCTTTGTGTTTAAAAAGAAAAAGAAAAAAAAGGGACATTTTCTCTTAAAATTAGATATTTTCTTTAAAAAAATAATTGACGTTAGAAAAAAAATTAATAAGATGTCAAGAAAGTTGTGAATTTTTTTTGGATAAATTGAATACATTTAATAAGGGTAAACTTGGAAAGCAAAAGTTAGCTTTTATAATATATTAATGACGTTGTTTTAAGTGTAAGGAGAATAACACATGACAAAAAAAAAAAAAAAAAAAAAAAAAAAAGAGGTTAGAGAGAGTTGCTAACATTCCTCTTAAAACAATTCATTATTGATTCATTATCGATATTATCAATTATTTGTTTTATTATTATTTTGGTTGTGTAGTATTATGGGCAACATAGATTCACCCCTGATTGTTCGGGATGCTGCCAGTGTAGCATATGAAAGTTAGAATACATACCGCCACAATGACATCTCCGGTGCATATGCGTTTTTCACTCAGAATAGCCCTGGTTCCATAACCGAAACTTACATTAGTGTGCAAATTTTCCAGAGCAACAAGGGTCCAGCTCCAGACCTATAAAACATAAAAAGACAAGGGTCCAGCTGGATGGCAAGAAGACTGATGCCTACTAATTTGTAATCTTCCATTTCATGAATATCAGTCATTTTTACAATGGCTTGTACTTATACAACCGCATTCCTTTGCGTTGCTTCTCACACACGGCAGGGAACAAACAATTACAGCTAATTACACAAACTCCTGACAGTCTTAACTATCTTCCAACTACCATACTCAGCTGCTACATGCCTTCTTGCTTTGCTTGCTGGCAACTGCAACAGCTTATTTCTTTTGACCACCGCTGCTTGATTCCTTACTGATAGCTACCTATGATCAAATACAGCCTGCCTAAATAAAAAGAATCAGCAACCCCAACGCCCATATTCAGATTCTTTCTTACCTTCAACTGAAAAAAAGAAAAAAAAAACACTACACGCAGTGGTTTAAAAAGATGTTATCAGTTGACACTGATATAAGTAAAAGTTCTTTTAACATTTTGCTTTTGTCGACAGATATACAACATGTAAGTGTGGGGATGTTTTGAAAGTTTTCAGATAAAAAAGAAAATGAATCTGTATTTAATTTACCTCCAGATACAACATGACTTCACTCCACTTCCTCAATGCTCTAAATCCGTCTACACCAGATTCATGTCTTAACCCTTCTTAAGCCCAACAAATCTTGCCGGACTAAACCGACTGAGATCTACAATGCTAGCTTTCCCATCCAGCACAAGCTCAGACACAGCAGCTCCAGTGGCAGGACCATTCAGAATCCCCCAACAATTATGCCCAGTAGCCACATAACACCCCTTAACCCCTGGTACCTCCCCAATCACAGGGACACCATCATCAGTACAGGGCAGGAAACATGCTTGCTCTGCCTTCACCTGTGCCTCTCCTTCTCTCAAATGGCTTGACACACTGCTTGCCACCCTTTTCAGCACCTCTATCGACTCCGGATTGCCCACTATTTGCTCCGGATCATCCGGTATCTCTGCCTCTGCGGACATCCCACACACATACACCTCACCTGCAATCCACAAATCCAATCAACCATTCAGTCACTAAACTTGAAAAAGGTTTTGCTAATAGATCATGCCAGATTAGCCCTTTTGAAGTTGAAGCATTGTTATGAAACGCCAGGCATTGTCTTGTTGGAAATTTTCAACGAGTTTTAGTTTGCAAGCATACTAGTTTTAAGATACCCAGATGAGAGTACCGATCAAAATGTATACTTCTTCAGATTACTTTAACATGTTAATCAAATGATTTGAAATATGGATACGCAGATAAGAAAAAATGATCAGAATGTGTTAATTTTTTCCGAATCAAATAAATTGAAATTGTTTGATCATTGTAAAATGTCAATCGAAGGTTGGAACTTTGGTACCTGTGGGGCGAGGGTACACTTCTGGGTCCAAGGGCTTTCCTCCTTGAGACGGATAGTAACTCAGGAAAAGCGCATGAGGGGTTATAGCCTCAGGTTCTTTAGGCTCCAACACAATGCTATGAGCCTTTATACCGTACACTCTGAACAACGACGACAACAGCTCAAATTTCCCACACCATGGCCCCAGCGCCAAAACGACAGCGTCCGAGTCAATCACTCGTCCTCCCTCCAAAACCACCGAGTTCACTCGCCCATTGTCCACTCCCAAGTGCTCCAATTTCCCAATCACCACGTCGACGCCATAATCCTCCGCCGCCTTCGAAATCAAGGTCCGGGTAAAGAGCTGAGGATGGACCTGGGCCGTGGTCTCCGTGGTCCCGATGGTTCTCGGACTCCGACCCGGCCCATCAACCCAAGACGGCAAAGCGGACTTTCCGGAGGGTTTCGAGCTCTGAGACTCAGTGACGGTGAGGCTGAGAGTGGTGAGGGATCGGTAGCCGTAAGAATTGGGGCCGTCGAGTTCTTGAGCAAGCGAACGGTGGAGGTTGAAGCTGGCGCGGGCCAGGGAACTGAGGGGCCCGCTGTCGCACCAATCGAGGGCGAGGAAGCCGCCGGCTTTTCCGGAGGCAGCGCAAGCCACGGAGGATTTCTCGACGAGGGTTACGGCGGCGCCGCTTTTGGCTAAGAAGTAAGCGGTGCATACGCCGATGACGCCGCCGCCGCATACGACGACTCGTTTCGGGTGGTGAAGGTCCATTGGCGATGATGCTGATGAGGACGACCGGATAAAGGTCCTTTTGTAGCTTCGGGTTTGTCGGAGAAATGGAGATACTGTTGGTGGTGGTGAGGTTAAAAGCGGTGATGCCACCGCCATATGGCGCATATTGTGTGTCAGTGGCTCACTGGTTTGTTTGTGATGAGCCGAAATGTGGGCTTAGTTGAGCCGAAGAGAGACACAAACAAAAAGAGGCCCAATTTTAGTGGCTCAGTCTTAGCCCAATTACATTTATTTTCTAGTGGCAAAGGAGGTCCAGTTTGAGTTTCTGAAAATACAAATTCTAAGGCGGTCTGGACAACACTAGATTGAGCTTTCTATGTTGGATAGAGCTTGTTGACGTAAAACTCGGATTTGAGTCATGTCCCATTGAGACCTACGTCCATTCCAAAATCTCTATTGGTGCACCAAATATAGGCTACGATTCTAATCCAGTTTGATTGGAATAATTATGTCTAGACCGATCCACCAACCGAGGTTTTTAGGTCATGTTTGTTGACTGAGATTATATTGGATTAAGAGGTAGAATTGAATTGCATTGAATTATATCGGACACTAGTCCAATAATGTGTGTGGTACTACACATGATTATGGGGTTGGATTAATTGAAATTTGCTATGACCTGGCTTAGTAGGATTAGACATACTTAATCTGACTTAATCCCAACATTTTGGTAGGATTAATTGAAATGTGCTACTACATTTGGCTTTAATATGATTAGACATAATCCAATCCATGGTGTTTTTAGGCCACCAAACATTTGACTACGATTATGAATCCTATACAATTATATAATCCAACTCACCAAACGGTTCTTTAAGGTTATAAATGAACTAGCTTTGAAGATAAATCAAGCATTAATACGAGACTAGAATAGTAAAATTCGTCGATTCATAAGTCGTAACTCACAAATGGCATGAGATAGTAGATTGAAGGTTTTGTGGTCTCATTGAATTTTAAATTCAAATGTGTTTTAGGACGCTCTGCGGGAGGCTCTCTTTGATCGCTTTAATAATAACTTCACACCTATTTGTCTGATTATGGGCATATTATAGCATATTATATAATGCAATTATTTTGCAGACAACAATTATCTTGGAACAAGATTTATTGCACGAACCTAATTAGTAGATACTGAGAAAATAATTGTTCTTAAAAAAAAATTTTCTTTTTAAGGATAAATTATAGAATATTACAGTAGTATGGTCACGTGATAGTATTAATATCCACTAATATTATAACACGTATAAAAGATGTACCACGTAACCGTACTACTGTAGTATTCTATAATCTCTCCTTTTGAAGCGAGCACGTCAAGTCCAAAATTATTGTGCATTTTCTTTTCAGCCATTATTTTGCAGGTTGAATTCAAACATTTTAGAGTGAGTGAGCTCTAGTGGTCTACCAATAGATGAGGAGCTTTCGGCCAATGGGGTTGGCGGCGATCAAAATTTCTTACTCTTTACCTTTTGTTTGATTTTAATAAATAATCAAACATAATTACATGTACCTTCAGATCTATTATTATCTTTTTAAACCTACAGAAAAAAAAAAGAAAAAAAAAAGAAGCAAAGTCAAGCAGGAATAATATAGGGTGGCCATGCCTCAACTACATACTTTCAAATCAATACGAAAAAAATGGAAGTAAGCAGTTAGAAGTCGCAATCAAGAAACACAGAAACAGAGAGAGAAAAGAAAAAAAGAAAGGTCCAATAATTATAAAGCCCAGCAGCGGCCACAAACGAACAAGAAATTAAGAACCATCCTAACTGAAGAGATAGCAAGCACATCACAGACCCTACATTCCCAAACAACACAAAGAATCACAGACGACCCTACAAGGACCAAACCCACCGTCCAATAACAGACCTCAAAAAAATCATCATTACCAAGTTTTGGTGATGTTAGGCGGCTTTCTTGACTTGTTAATAGTGTTTACCACTAATTGGTCTCCAACTAAGTTTTTTCCATTACCACTCAAAAGAAGAAAGCGAACGAGTTCAACAACTTTGCTATATGCGATTCAGATTAATAACGTAATAACATAATATGTCATACTGAAATGATAACTTTTTTGACAATTTAACTATACGTGATTCGGATCGATAACATGATAACATAACATGTCAGACTAATAATAACTTCTTCGACATGATAACATCATATGGAAATTGCAATGTGAACGGTTTGGGCCGTGAAACATTTTGTTTGCCTATATTGACTTAAAACTGAAAGCTTGGTTCTGAGTTGGGGATATGACCGTTTTCAAAAGAAAGGCCATATTTGTTATTAACTCTCATAATTACATTGGATATATGGACATTTTTGGATTTTTCTGGTTATTTGGGCAACCGGCCATGAGCGTTCAGTTTGTAAATACACTGACCTCCGACCTAACCCAAGGCCCCAACACAAGGGTCCTCTAATATGACAAATACCCAAATCATCGGGGCGGTTAGGGCCCTCTAATATTCTGGTGCAGCTCCTTCTTTAACATATATTTTTTTGGGAGTTTCACTAAAACACCCAAAATGGAGGTTGAAATTATAAAAAAACCCAACACCCAAAACACTTTATAAACACACCCAAAACCCATCATTACACACACTCAAAACCCATTTATAAACACACCCAAAAAGTTGACTTTGGGGTTGATTTTGGGTGTGTTTCTATCTTTAAATAGTGCGTGGGTTTTTTTATAAATACATGTCTAGGATTGGGTTTATTTATAAATTTGTATATTTTTTTTAAGGTATATTTGTCTTTTTCTATAATATTCTCAATTCCCTTTAAATTAATTAGGATATTCTACTGCTTTTTTTAATTAGAGAAAAAAGAAAGCAAATAATTTAGTTAATTAGTCATTCATACGTGATAGCAAATTACACATATTTATATGCATTAACGACTGACAATCACATGTGAATGTGTTCGTTTGTCTCCAGCATCCCTTCGGCCACTCATAGTTTAAGGATGCGATAAAATGAAAATGGCATCCCCGCTAACCTCATGCTATGAAAAGGGCATCCCCTACAGGAGGAAAGTGTGAATACTGCAACCATTAAATGTATGATGTATCTAAAACATTATTTGGAGACAGCCTTATGGAAGGTACAGTACTTGATAAAAAAAAAGGAAGGATAAATCCAATGCCATAAATTAAGGGGCATCAAATGTTGCTTAGATCCCATCAATGTGTGCTTGGTTGTAGTAGGAAGGGAAGGCCACCAAGTTTTCAGTTGGGAATAAAGGAGAAAAAGGAAGATGGATTATATTAGCAAAAGTAATCCGCATAAATGCTTAATCAATCATAAGCTTGAACTTAGCCTTGCAAGCTGTGCTTCTATGATCATATATTTATCCTTATAATTATTGTAATCTTCAGCTAGTAATTTAGTATGAGAAAGAGAGAGACTTAATGACAACCCCCCCACTCACAAGACTTGTTAATCTCATATTAAATTATGGATTATATCATTATTCCCTCAATGTCATACATAATGCCATACAACTGTAAAATTTAACCTTAAAGTATGGGCGTGATGATCATAGGTAGGCTCAATCATAGTAGAATTAGCTTCTAAACAAGTCCCATCATAGTTTTAAGCTAGGCTCATTCTACAATGTTTAGAGCATCTTCAAATTGACGTTTGTTGACTTACGTGGCAATTTGAAAAGCTGAAGTAACTTACCAATTCTAAAGAGAGAGAAAGAGGTTATAGCTTTGATGATTGAGTTTGACAAGATTGTTAGAGAGAGTTTTGATGATATGACTCACCTATTTTAGCATTCTAAAGCTGTTGAAGATGCTCTAAAAAAATAATTCCTCGAGATATTTGAAACTGTTAGGTAATTTTCAGAATATGGTTAGGCCAAGCTCAAAATATAATAAAATGGTTTGGGCAACGTTTGATTGAAAAAGATTTGTGACTACTTTATGAATGAGAAGATGAAGATGAAGATGAAGATGAAAGGGGAGTGGAGGTAATTTTCAACGGGGAACAGGATCCAATCAATTATATATTTTGCCATCTGTTTGCATGATCAGATGAATATATTATATATATATATATATATTTAACTTTACACTTCAATGGGTTTGACCATCCCTATCATATCTACACGTCAATTAAGTATAGTTTTGATAAGCAGTCGTTACTCATTAGATGAAAAACAGTATGATTAATCTCCCATATTGGATTACACCTGTTCTTTGAAAGCACGATCTGTAAAAATCTCAATTTTGTTAGAGTCTAATTCAAATTACTTTTGTAAGCAAGCATTTCTGCTCATAGGCTTTATGGTAGTTGCTTCTACAGAAAAATCTTTTATGACTCATAAATACTTTTAAGTTCTTTTTTCTTCTGCCAAATAGTATAAAAAAACGCTTTAGTTGTCAGAAAATGCTTTTTAGCCGAACCAAAATCTGAGGCAAATAAACTCATATAACTCATGCATTGGCTTATTTTAGATGGGTTGGATTGTTGAAAAAAAATCAAAGGTGCTCCTCAAATAATGTTTATTTAAAGAATTCTTCAATAAAAAAGGACTATATATAGATTTTTTAGCCCTTAATTTTATTTTTTTGCTAGTTAAAATATAAAACCATTCAAATTTTTGATTGTCGTGGAGTTGAATGTAGAAAAACTACAAAAACAAATTTCACAATGAGAACAATGGGGTTTTTCCCCATGGCCTACCATGATAATTAATGAACCAGCATTATTAGAAGCAATTGTCAAGTATGTATATAAATACAGAAGAAAAGTATGAAAAAGTAGGACCTATAATACATGCACATTTCTATGTCAAACAAACCAAGCAAATGCAACCAAAAGCAACAAAAGTGATAAAGATAGAGTAATTGGGTGAGCCATCAATTATGTATCTCTCAGGGTCCCCTCCTCCCAGCAGCAACCAGTGCCATTAAAACAGTCTGAAGATATGTCCCTTTTTTTTTTGTGCTAGACTACTAGTCAATTGGTTTGGAGATGGCAATTTCAAACTTGTCTTTATTTTAAAGAAATAAGGAAAAAAAAAATATGGTCTTTATAATCGCACTACATCTTTGTTAAATGATAAACTATAAATTGAAAGTT